TTGACTTCACTCTCCAGGATGTCTGGCTCAAGGTCAGCAACCACACTACCTGGGGTGTACGAGACATCCATATATTTCTGGTATAATTCCTCTGTGTATTCTTGCCACCTCTTCTTGATGTCTTCTGCTTCTGTTAGGTCCTTTCCACTTTTGTCTTTTATTATGGTAATCTTTGTACGAAATGTTCCTTTCATATCTCCAATTTTCTTGAACAGATCTCCGGTTTTTCCCCATTCTATTGTTTTCCTCTATTTCTTTGCATTGCTCGTTTAAGAAGGCCTTCTTGTCTCTCCTTGCTATTTTTTGGAACTCTGCATTCAATTTCCTGTATCTTTCACTATCTCCCTCGCATTTTGCTTGCCTTCTATCCCCCGCTATTTGTAAGGCTTCATTGGACAGCCACTTTGCTTTCTTGCATTTCCTTTTCATTGGGATGGTTTTAGTTGCTGCCTCCTGTATAATGTTACGAGCCTCCACCCATAGTTCTTCAGGCACTCTGTCCGCCAAATCTAAATCCTTAAACCTGTTCCTCACTTCCACTGTGTATTCATAAGGGATTTGACGTAGATTGTATCTTACCGGCCCAGTGATTTTTCCTATTTTCTTCAGTTTAAGCTTGAATTTTGCTATAAGAAGCTGATGATCTGAGCCACAGTCAGCTCCAGGTCTTGTTTTTGCTGACTGTATAGAGCAGTGTTTCCCAACCACTGTTCCGCGGCACACTAGTGTGCCGCGAGATGTTGCCTGGTGTGCCGCGGGAAAAATTAAAAAATTGAAAGATTTTTTTTTTAGTCGAATTTTTGATTGGGGCGCCGTCACTAGATGACCCCTGGGGTTCCCTCCCTCCCTCCCGCTCTGCGCCTCCCTCCTCCTCCGGGGAGGCCCTTCCTGGCTCTCGGCCAAGGCTTGGCGGCTGCCACTCACTCACTCGCTCGCCCACCCGTCCCTCCATCCCTGCACCCGGCCTCTCCCCCTCCGTCCCCGGCGCGGGGGCTGCCGGGATCCGTAGTCCCCTCGCCCTTGGGCTCCGCGCCCGCGCGGGGTGCGCGAACTACGTTTCCCAGCGTGGCCTGGCGGGCCGGGCGTTTTGTTTGAAGCGCTCTTCTCCCGGCCATGGAATGAGCGCTCTCGGCGGCCATGGCGGGCAGGGGCTCTTCCGCGCAGACCCCGCGCAGCCTGCCTGCGCCCCCGCGGAGATCGGGCGGCAGGATGGAGGCCGGGGATCCCCGCGGAGGCGGAGCGGCGGAGGCGGAGGCTGCCCCCCAGGTAGGGCTGCGTCGGGGGGGTTTTATTTTTGCAATGCTGCATCCGCGCCGGAGGGGACGCATCGGACCGCGGGGAGACCCCTTGGCGGGCGTGCAAGGCAATGCATGCGTGCAGGCGTTGCATGGAGTGCAGTGCAATGCAATGGCAACGCGGCGCCCTGCATGCATGCATGCAACTTCCACCGGCGCTCCGGACTTGGCAGGTGAGGGGGGTCCCCAGTGGGTGGCAGAGAGAGCCGGGAGGGCGAAGGGGAGCCGGGGGGGAGCAGCGCTGCTCCCCGAGCCGAGCCCGGGGGGAAACTTCAGCGTCGTTGCGCCGGGTGTTGGAAGCGGAGGCTGGCGGGGGCCCCTCACCTGCAAAACCTGGTCGCCTCTCATATATTTCGTGCATTGCATTCATCGCCCGCTTTCTCCTCCAAGGAGCTCCCGGGGCGCGCGTGGTTCTCCCTGTGTTATCCTCGCAACAACAGCCCTGCGAGGTGGGTCAGGCGAGTGGCCCAAGGGAGCACCCAGGGATTGTCCTGGCCAGGTGGGGTGATTTGAACCCTGCTCTCTGCCCGGTCTTCGTCCTCATTTAGCCCCCACATGTGCATGACTGTGCATGACTGAGGTTTTCCCCCCTCGTCTTGGCTATGGTGTGAGTCTGTGCTGTTAATTAATGGGGTTCTGCCTTCGGAGAAGATGAGCCAGCCCTCAAGGAGGTGATTATGTAATTTGCTAGCAATTCATGTCCCTCCCGGCGTGACGCTGCGCGCTGACGTCATGGGGCTGTAATGGTGGTGTGCCTCAAGATTTTTTTCATGAAACAAGTGTGCCTTTGCCCAAAAAAGGTTGGGAAACACTGGTATAGAGCTTCTCCATCTTTGGCTGCAGAGAATATAATCAATCTGATTTAGATGCTGCCCATCTGGTGATGTCCATGTGTAGAGTCGTCTCTTGTGTTGTTGGAAAAGCATGTTTGTGATGACCAGCTTTTCTCTTGGCAGAACTCCATTAGCCTTTGCCCTGCTTCGTTTTGAACTCCAAGGCCAAACTTGCCAGTTGTTCCTTTTATCTCTTGACTCCCTTCTTTAGCATTCCAATCCCCTATAATGAGAAGAACATCCTTCTTTGGTGTCATTTCTATAAGGTGTTGTAAGTCTTCATAGTATTGGTCAATTTCAGTTTCTTCAGCACCAGTGGTTGGTGCATAAACTTGGATTACTGTGATGTTAAAAGGTCTGCCTTGGATTCGTATCGAGATCATTCTATCATTTTTGAGATTGCATCCCAGTACAGCCTTCGCCACTCTTTTGTTGACTATGAGGGCCACTCCATTTCTTTTACGGGATTCTTGCCCACAGTAGTGGATATGATGGTCATCCGAACTGAATTCGCCCATTCCCATCCATTTTAGTTCACTGATGCCCAATATGTCTATATTTATTCTTGCCATCTCATTTTTGACCACATCCAACTTACCAAGGTTCATGGTTCTTACATTCCAGGTTCCTATGTGTCAGGGGTTCAGGGAGAGAGGCGCAGATGAGGGAGGAGACTGAGAGCGAGGGGGAAGGATCCCAGGGCGACGAGGAAGAAGATGACAATGAGTCGAGGGGTTCCATGAGTCTCTCCAGTGAATCGGAGGATTCCCAAAAGGGAGCGTCCCTGGTCAGGCCAAGGGGAGCCACAGGGGGGAGTAGTCAGGAGCAGGGCAGCAGCAGGGGAACCCCCAGTGGGAGTTGGAGATCGGGACCGGCTTCTCCGCCGGAACGGAGTGAAGGGGGTGGAGTTCCCAGTGTGTCAGACGGAGCAAAGCAGGAAGCAGAGAGGGGAAGGAGATCGGGGCAAGACGTCCTGCCGGAAGGGGCGGAGAGTAGTACCGAGAGCAGTGTAACTGTCAAAAGGAAGGTCAGAAGCAGCGTACGTGCGCCAAGTTCAAATGTGGAGGCGCGCGGAAGTGAGGAGAGCCCGGAGGAGGAGCCTGGTCCCAAAGCACGGAGGAGGGGGGAGCAGGCGTCAGAGGATTCAGCCTCTGGGGAATCCCGGAGGGAGGGAACCCAGGGGGGCAGAAAGACCCTGCGGAAAAGGAAGGAGAGGAAGAGGTGGTCCAGCGCAAGCCTCTTAAACTGGTGTAGAGGCGGGACTGATTCAGAAGGGACTTCAGCGGTCTAAGCCTAACAGACGTGGGGTCACGCGCCTCGGATGTGGAGCTAACAATGTTCTTCAATAAAAGCTTTTGTACATAAGCTGGACTTGGCGTTGGTCTCTTGTGAGCTGGGACCTTGGGTGACCCTGACACTATGCAATATTTTTCTTTACAGCATTGGACTTTTTTGCTTCCAGCCATATCTGCAACTGAGCGTCCTTTCGGCTTTGGTCCGGCCGCTTCATCAGCTCTGAAACTACTTGTACTTGTCCTCCGCTCTTCCTCAGTAGCATGTTGGACGCCTTCCGACCTGAGGGGCTCATCTTCCAGAGTCATAACTTTTATATGCCACATCCAAGTCCATGGCTCCCAGTCTCTTTTCATGTCAACCATACTTATCCGTCCTTATTTCTTTTATGAAAAATTCAAATTTCCACATTTTCTTTTTCCATTATTTTTCCAGAGTTGTTGCAAGGAGCTTGAAATATTTTTCTTCCAAATTCAACCCAACTTGCACACATATTCCTTTCTTTCTCAACACTCTATGTTCTAAGAATTCTGGGAGCTGTGGTTTGTTAGAGTGCTGAGAGTTGTTAAGGGACCCCCTATTACCCTTCCAGAGCTACAATTTTCAGTAGTTGTTACCATATCCTACTGAGATCCAGTTTAAATTTTAGATTCTGTTATATTTTGTATATGTTGTTACAAAAGTTGGCTGCCTGCCCCTCTCTCTGCCAAGTGGGTCCTTCCAAGAGGGGCTGGTACCCCACAGCAAAGCAGCCAGCCTTCAGCCAGCCTGCCCAAGATGGATCTCAGCTGTTCTTCCTCCTTCCTCCCAGCCACCCTTGCTCCCAGAGCAGTTACCCTGTCCACCTTCCAAACCCCCAGCCTCTGTTCACACCTCAGGGTAGGGGGGAGGAGTTCTCTTATATTGTTAATGTCCCTCAACTGTTCTCTATATTTCCTTAATGGAAGTAGCTCAGCCATAGGAATTCCTCTGCAGCTTGCATTCTCCCTTCATGTCCCAAATAATCAAAATCCTAGCATTTATTAATTTCTAGGGATTAGGTGCTTAACCCACCCCCTTAAATCATTAGCACCATGCAACAAAATGTTTTGTGACTGACTTTGTATATTTTGAATTAATAGAAAACCAATAAAGAGTGAATTAAAAGCAATTTCTCAGAATGGTTCTCAGAGCGGGGTCTTCAATAAACTCTCAGCATCCTTATAAAACTACAGTTCCCTGAATTCCTTGAGGGAAACATTTCATATGGTATCACAGTGTAAGATGTGAATGAGGCCTAAATTATAGTTTTGCCCCGTCCTCCTCCCTGCAATGGCAACACTGAACCTGAGGAGGAAACAGGCAGCCAGTGTTACCTCCTGGGCTGGTTTTAAGCAAGAAGGCAGGCAGGTGGCTGGGGGAAGACTGGGGTTAGTAGAACAGTGACCACCTACCCCCCCTTAGCCCAAAAGAACCAACCTCTGTTGATCATAGGTCTGCACCTAGCTGGACCGCCCTGCCTCATCTATTCCCCACCCTTGGGGAAAACAGACACCACCATCAAACAGCACAGAACGCATGGAGCCATGGAATGAGAGAACCCACTGATGTCACACAACGTGCAGCAACCATTCTGCCGGAGGGGGAGCATGGGGCGAGTCAACATTGCCCAGCTGTGGAAAATGGAGTTCCAACAGAAACACATCAAGTTCATGGCCCAGATGTACCTGGATACCAGCCAGAAAAGGAACACCAAATCTCAGTTGCTTTTAAAGAGGAACCACCATTTGTACCGGTAATGCAGGCAGAGAAGGCCTTAGGCACTTGCCACTATCCCCTACTGCATGCCCCGCAAGGCCAGATTCTCACCTAACCCCATTAAGTTAAAATGGGATAGATAAGTCTGGCTGGACCAGAACCAAGAGTCCATCTAGTCCTGGAATGGGGAACCTCAGGGCTAAGGGGCCACACACAGCTCCTGAGGCCTCTTTCTATGGCCCCCAAGACTCCCCACATGCCACAAATACCCTGCCCATACCCTCCCTCAATAGCCCTGCATCGCACCCACCTGCAGTGATTTTGCCTGGGTGGAATGTGTCCTTGAACTCTGATCATGCCTCTTGCCTGCCTGAATGGAGAATAGAGGGGGCTGTTTGTGCAGAAACTAGCCTCTTTTGCCTCTGCCCCATCCTGCAGCACAGTGGCCAACTGGATGCCTATGGGAATCCCACAAGCAGAACCTGAGTGCAAATAATATTGATGCATTCTTTCTATTTCAATTTGTTTTTACTGTGCTGCAATTCTTTTTTAAAAATGTTGTCAATAGCCCAGAGTGCTTCCCACAAGCATTTGGTTGGCCTCTGTGAGAACAAAGTGATGGATTAGATGCACCTTTGGTCTGATCCATCTGGGCTTGTCTTATGTGCTTACATAAGGAGTGTCAGGAGTATAGGGAATAAATTTCAGTATAGCTAAATAAAATGGTGGGATCCAGCAAATGCCTGATTTCGCCCACTACTGACACCAGTAGTGGCATTTACTTTTTCCTTCCATTTCCAGCTGCTGGGACCGCCTCTCCTCATTTGTTGCTTGTGTTTTGTTCTCAGGGGTCGCCTGAGCAGGGAATCTAGCTCAACACCGTTCCTCCCAGAAATTCATTTCGGAAAGCAGAGCAGTAAGTAGGAAGGAGGTCTGAGAGAGAGAAAAGGGCAATCCAAGGCTTTCTCCCCATTGGTTTGTGGGTGCCCAATAGGGAAACCAATAGTGCAGTCTCAATGTAATTCTGTAAGGTAGAATTTTATATGCCTGTTGTCTTTGTCCATGGAGTTTTCTTGGCAGGGATACTGGAGTGGCTTGCCGGTTCCTCCTCCAGGTCCCATCACCTCCTGGCAAATAGAAGGGGAAGAAATGGAGGCAGTAAGAGATTTTACTTTCTTGGGCTCCATGATCACTGCAGATGGTGACAGCAGTCACGAAATTAAAAGACGCCTGCTTCTTGGGAGAAAGGCAATGACAGGCCTAGACAGCATCTTGAAAAGTAGAGACATCACCTTGCCAACAAAGGTCCGTATAGTAAAAGCCATGGTTTCCCCAGAAGTGATGTATGGAAGTGAGAGCTGGACCATAAAGAAGGCTGATCGCCGAAGAATTGATGCTTTTGAATAATGGTGCTGGAGGAGACTCTTGAGAGTCCCATGGACTGCAAGAAGATCAAACGCATCCATTCTTAAGGAAATCAGCCCTGAGTGCTCACTGGAAGGACAGATCGTGAAGCTGAGGCTCCAATACTTTGGCCACCTCATGAGAAGAGAAGACTCCCTGGAAAAGACCCTGATGTTGGGAAAGATGGAGGGCACAAGGAGAAGGGGACGACAGAGGATGAGATGGTTGGATGGTGTTCTTGAAGCTTCCAGCATGAGTTTGACCAAACTGCGGGAGGCAGTGGAGGACAGAAGTGCCTGGCGTGCTCTGGTCCATGGGGTCACGAAGAGTCGGACACGACTAAACAACAAAACAACAAGAAGGTAGAATTGGCAACTAGAAAGCCTTCATCTGCCCCAGTAGCAAGAAAATCTGTCTTTCCCGTATTGGTCTCTACAGCCACAGCAGGCACTGTAACCTTCCATCAGTTTCACGTCATCCCTAAAGGCACACTTCTCCAGTCTCCTGAGACAGACAAATGCCAACAATCTAAACTAACAAAATGCACATTTTTGCTCACAACAACCTTGCAAGGTATATTAGACTGAGAGACAGTAACTCACCAAAGATCAACCATTGCATTTCATGTCTGAGAAGATTCCTGAATGCAAGTCTACTCATTGCAAGTCTAGCCATTGTGCCCAGAGGCAGAACTAGTTGCCCTGGCACCTGGAGCGGCATGCACCCGGTGGGCGGGGCTAGCATCCCGGGGGGCAGGGCACATTTCCCAGGGGATATGCCAGCTGCCTTAAGGCTCCGGGGGGGGGGGGGGCGCCGGCCGCCTCAAGCGTCCTAGGAGGACGCAGCCCACGGCGAGGTTCGGGGAGGCGATGTCACCCGGGGCGGGCCACACCCTCCTTGCTCAGCCTCTGATTGTGCTACACTTTCAGTTTCAGGGCCTCTCTGTCTTCTTTATTTTAGACACTTGCAATACCTATTGCCTTGATGGGTAGACAAATCTGCAGAGCCCTGCAGCAGGACTGACCGAAGCAAGTACTGTATTTCTTGCATGGCATGGTCAGTTTAAAAGTAACCAGTAAAACCAGCAACAGATAACATGGTAGGGCAAACGTCACATATTTCTCTTAGGATCAAAAATAGAGGGTCACCACTAAAAAGGCCCTGTTTATAAAGCTGAGGGACCTTAATGGTAGGTAAAGCAAGCAGAGCCTCAGAAGCTAGCCTTATGGAGTACAAATATGTAACGCATGCATCGTAGTCCAGGGCTGGGGACACTGTGGCTCTCCAGATGTGGTTGTTCTCCCGTGGTTGTTCTCCTGCTCCCAACAGTACCAGTAAACATGGCCAAGGCTTATGGATTACAGAAGTTGTAGTCCAACAACATATGCAGGACCACAGATTTTGTATTCTTGTGTTAAAAGCATAGGGGCAGGAGGACAGGCTCTTGGGCAAGGGGGGGCCAGGAAGCCTCCCTGCAGGGCATTCAGATCCCAACCTGCATCAGCTGAATGATCTTCTCTTTGCTCCAGGTGGTCGCATATCCCCAGAAGGCCGCTTGTCGATGGCAGTGAACACGGACAGCCCTGGGCCAGCAGCTTACTCGGCCTGCAGTGCGAACTTCCGGCAAACCAGTGCTCCATCCTACACCTTTGGGTTGAAGTCACCTTCTAAAGGTGCGAGTGAAGGGAAGGGATTAAGAGAGCATTCTTTCAGTTTCCAGCTATGCATGAATCAATACGGTTTGTGTTTAGGCCGCTAGACCAGAGGTTTTCAACATTTTTGAGAGGCCATCTTGGATCTATCCTCTGAGAAGAAAAGCACAAGCCTTTGTTTCCCCTTGGCTAGTTAGTTAGTTTAGGATTAGAAACTCTTCTGTCTGAGTTACGTACTTCCTACCACAAACAACTTAATTGTTTTTATCTACCAATATCGCTTGGTGAGGGACGCGGGTGGCGCTGTGGGTAAAACCTCAGCGCCTAGGACTTGCCGATCGCATGGTCGGCGGTTCGAATCCCCGCGGCGGGGTGCGCTCCCGTCGTTCGGTCCCAGCGCCTGCCAACCTAGCAGTTCGAAAGCACCTCCGGGTGCAAGTAGATAAATAGGGACCGCTCACCAGCGGGAAGGTAAACGGCGTTCCGTGTGCTGCGCTGGCTCGCCAGATGCAGCTTGTCACGCTGGCCACGTGACCCGGAAGTGTCTGCGGACAGCGCTGGCTCCCGGCCTATAGAGTGAGATGAGCGCACAACCCTAGAGTCTGTCAAGACTGGCCCATAAGGGCAGGGGTACCTTTTTATCGCTTGGTGTGTTGTTACAGATGAGGCTATTCATTTACAGCGTTCCATGAATTTGCAGAGCTTCCTAAGAAAAATGGCTTATTGGATGCAATTTCTCCAATGCAGAGGGTAGGGGAAATCCTAGGGTTAGCATGCTTGCAGCTGAGACTTTGAGAAGGGAGGTAATTTTCTGGGTAGAGCCAATAGAAACTATCATATTGTTGTGACTACATTTCCCAACCTGCCTTGAGGTCTAAAAAAGGGGGAAAGGCACTACAGTGGTACTTCGGGTTACATACGCTTCAGGCTACATATGCTTCAGGTTACAGAATCCACTAACCCAGAAATAGTACCTCAGGTTAAGAACTTTGCTTCATGATGAGAACAGAAATCATGCTCCGGCGGCATGGCAGCAGCAGGAGGCCCCATTAGCTAAAGTGGTAATTCAGGTTAAGAACAGTTTCAGGTTAAGAACGGACCTCCAGAAGGAATTAAGTACTTAACCCGAGGTACCACTGTATCTTTTCTTAAAGGAGCAGCATTGTTATTCCTTCTACCTAATACAAGTGCTTTTTTTCCTGAAAAAAAAATGTTCAGGGGTACTCTCATTTTCCTACTCATATTGAAATACTGCCCCTCAATGAGGCCAAACTTAGATTCACAAAATGCTTAGGGGTATGCGTCCCCCTAGAAAAAAAGGCACTGCCTAAATAACTGACCCTTGTGGAGGCAGAACATGTGTGATTACAACAGGTAAGGCCTACTTTCTGGATACTGTATATTCACAAGTCACACTTTCCCCCAAGAAGTGGGAAACCTGAGGGCCACATTTTCTAGTAGGCAACCTTCTGGGGGCCACAATGGCAAAGGATGTAACATAAACTTACTGTAACAAAAAACAAATGAATAGCTTATTCTACCAGCATGTGGAAATGGAAAGGCCTGTTCAGCCCTGCTTTCTGTCACCTCACCCTGTTACATGAGTAGATTCAGGGTCATCCCACCCATGAGGCAAGATAAGGCAATCGCTTCAGGCAGCAGGATCCACAGGGGCAGCAGATGTGGCCACCAAGGATTGCATCATCCAACCCCACTTCTGCTGCCACTGCTGTCACTGACTGTGGCATGCTTCATAGAGGCCCGATCTGCTGTCTCCTCAGCAGCCCTACCCTCAAAGCTGCCTCTACAGCAGCCTCTTGGTGAACAGATGGCACTGCTCTCCTCCCCCCTTCCTGCTGTAGGTCTTTAGAATTGTATAGTTATAGAGTTACAATGGTCCCCCAGGGGTCATCTAGTCCAACCCCTTGCAACTCAGGAATCTCAACTAGATCATACAGTGGTACCTTAGGTTACATACGCTTCAGTTTACAGACTCCGCTAACCCAGAAATAGTACCTCAGGTTAAGAACTTTGCTTCAGGATGAGAACAGAAATTGTACTCCAGCGGCGAGGCGGCTGGGGGAGGCCCCATTAGCTAAAGTGGTGCTTCAGGTTAAGAACAGTTTCAGGTTAAGAATGGACCTCCAGAACGAGGTACTTAAGTACTCCATAACTTGAGAGCCAGTGTGGTGTAGTGGTTAAGAGCGGTGGTCTCGTAATCTGGGGAACCGGGTTCGATTCCCCGCTCCTCCACCTGCAGCTGCTGGGTGACCTTGGGCCAGTCACACTTCTTTGAAGTCTCTCAGCCTCACTCACCTCACAGAGTGTTTGTTGTGGGGGAGGAAGGGAAAGGAGAATGTTAGCCGCTTTGAGACTCCTTAAAGGGGGTGAAAGGTGGGATATCAAATCCAAACTCTTCTTCTTCTTCTTCTTCTAAGTACTTAACCCGAGGTACCACTGTACATGTTCCTGATGTAAGTCTTCACTCACCCCTTCATCCCAGGTTGGGGAGGGGATGCCATTTTGTGGTTTGCCTCAGCTGCCCAAGTGTCTTGGGCTGGCTCTATGTAGGCTGGGTCCCAAGTCTCTTGGGATGACAGTTGGGGGCCTGGTTCAAATTTCAAGGCTCTGTAACAACACTGATGCTGCCTCAACCTTGTCTGTTCTGTTTCTCCAGAGGGCGGAGGGCGGCGTTCTTGGCAGAAGTCTTGGTTTTTGAGCAATAACCCGTTCATTAAGAAAGTGGATTTTAGCAACGAGACCAATGTAAGTGTCACGCATGGGGGTGTCCATTTGTGCTATGCCCCACCCAATTCATATAGTTCAGTGACAAGAGCACATGCTTCATTCATTAATTAAATGGAATATTTACAACCCTCCCTTTCAGAAAGTGCATCAAAGCAGTCGACAACATGCAAAACATAAATAAAATAACGGTGTAAATAAATAACTCCATAAATATCCATAAAGTGTAATATAAAGAATCAAGAGATGCAGGTCCCGGGGTCAGTCTCCATGTTGCAAAGATCAAGCAGCAAGCTGTATACTGTATAAATGCTAGTGGCGGCCTTGTTGTATTTGGAAGCAGTCAGAAATTAAAGGCCCAACCTGCACTATGCATTTGAAGCACCTCATACAAGTAGGGTCTGAGCATAAGAGTGCACTCTCTTACTGCAATTTCCAGCAGCTGGTTTTCATACCCTCCAACATTTCTCCAAGGAAAATAGAGACATCCTAATTAATAATATAATAGTAATACCCCATGCATCTGACTGGGTTGCCCCAGCCATTATGGGCGGCTTCCAACATATATAAAAACAAAATGTAACATTAAACATTAAATAACTTCCCTATACAGGGCTGATTTCAGATGTCTTGTGAAGATTGTAAAGTTACATATCACCTTGGCTTGGGGTGTCACATAACTCAGTTACATGACTGCCTCCAGCTGTGGAAGGCAGGGCAGAGCCATCATGGTTAGTAGCAATTGATAACCTTATCCTCTTTGAATTTGTCCATAGAATTCTTTTAAGCATCATTTCAAGCCACCAGGGCCAATCCCTGGGGATAATGGGAGTATCTGTGAACCAAAGATTTGGCAAGGCTGCTTTAGAACCACAGATTTGGAGTCCTATTAACACCATACATTTAAAGCACTAGAATATCATGGCTTCCCCTAAGGAATCCTGGGAACTGTAGTTCATTAAGGATGCTGAGAATTGTTAGGAGGCCCCCTACTCCCTGTCACAGAGTTACCACTCCCACAGTTCCCTGGGAAGGAGGATTGATGGTTAAAGCATTCTGGGAAATGTAGCTCTGTTGGGTCTCACTGGTCATATAGCTTTTATGCTCCTCCACCATGTGGGTCCCCCTCTCCAGGAAGGATCATGCAGCTCAGCTGTCCCTCTGTTATTTGCAGTGGCCCTCTCCTTTCCACTACGGCCAGCCCCTGGATGTCAAGCCAGCCAACCTGCCAAACAGCCCCCATTTCACCATGGGACAGAAGGGAGAGTTCACTCTTGTCAGCAAAAGTAAGAAGATAAGGGGTGCCTTAGGTTATCTAGAGGTATTTATTTCATAGAATTGTAATGTTGGAATAGATCCAGGGGGTCATCTAGCCCAAACCCTTGCAATGTAATAATTTTTTTTATTACAAATATGGGTCACAAAACCATGACCCTGAGATTATGAGCCTTTTGCTCTATCAACGCAGCTATTATCCTTATCTGGGTCAAGATGTGCCTCAGGACTCTAATCTTGCCCTTTATTGCCAGTCGGGAAGCTGAGCACTACCAGAAATTTGCCTTCAGTAGGGTTCTTCCCTTTTTAGTGAGACATTGCCAGTAGCTAACACCTCTGCTCAAAGATTTGTTACGAGGCCAGTTTATTTGGGACCAGTTACTTGCACATTGCCTTCTCTATATAAACCCATTTGACCGCTTCAATTTGCAGATCTGACACTGTTACAGCTGCCACATATTTGTTCTGCACTTGCAAGAAAATAATTCTTTTGTTGTTATGGGACCCACTATGGAACTTCTTGCCTATTGACACCAGGCAGACACCTATGTCGTACTCTTTTCACCACCTGCTCAAAACATTATTGTTTGGGCCAGCCTGACCAGAGACATGGATGCTGACAAGATCTAATCTCTTACTGTTAATTTTAACTACAGAATTTTAAATTACGTACATGGTTTTAACTGTTTATTCCTCAATATTTTAAAACTGTTTTTGTAAGCTATTTAGCGGTTTTCCTACGCTCAAACAATACCGTTTTGTGTGGGGGCTGCATTCCTGACCATGCATGTAAACCTGCTCCACCCATTATGCCCCTACCCCATTCTGTCCCCTTTTCCAGCCACTTCCAGGCTGCAGGGATGCACGTGTGTAGGATCAAGCTTTATTTGAATGTGTGCAAAGGTGTGTGGGGGGTTTGCCTGTATATAATTTTTGTTTCATAAATACATATGGTATCTACACTGCCCATTTAACTTGACCTCTTCACTTGGGTCCACTCAACACTACAAGGGTGTGGGCAAGAGCAGCATAAGTTGCTCCTGGCAGTAACAGTAAGGGGAGCTATGCTAAGCATATCCAAGAGGGTCTCTGTCGGGTTGCAGCTCTTCAAGTCAGTGCCTGGCAATGCCAACTTCTCCCCTCCCTCTCCATTAGTATCTGGCACCACAGATTGGACCGGCTTCTCTCTCACCCCTTTTCTCTTCCCTAGATAATATGATGGATCCAGCACCCAATAAGTACAACACAGAAAGTGCATACAAACATGTGATGTTTAGATCACCCTCTATCATCATCAGCCCTGCACGAAACACTATGCACAAGTGGGCCAGGAAAGGTAAGGAATGGTAACAGGTTCCCTCCCACTACTCTTTTAACTACTGTATTTTTCGTTCTGTAAGATGCACCAGACCACAAGACGCACCTAGTTTTTGGAGGACGAAAACAAGAGAAAAAAAATATTCCGAATCCCAGAAGCCAGAACAGCAAGAGGGATCGCTGTGCAGAGATCCCTCTCACTCTTCTGGCTTCTGGGATAGCCGCACAGCCTCTTCAGGGCAGCGGGATGACGGCTCCCCCTGTCCTGAAAAGGCTGCACGTGGCTAAGCCAGAAGCTAGAACAGCGAGAGGGAGCGCTGCGCACCTACACTTGTACCTTGGAAGTCAAACAGCCTAGTTCTCGAACGTTTTGGCTCCTGAACAATGTTCCAGTTTTCGAACGTTCTTTTGGAAGCCAAACATCCAACGGGGCTTCCGCTGCTTCCAATTGGCTGCAGAAGCTTCCTGCAGTCAATCAGAAGCTGTGTTTTGGTTTTCGAGCATTTTGGAAGTTGAACAGACTTCTGGAACAGATTCCGTTTGACTTCCAAGGTATGACTGAATATAAAAGGGGCAGATTGAATATTAATAAGAGTTAGCAGTACCCCTGACCATTGCTGCCATTATAACATCATGACGACACTCAGCTCTATCTGCTGATGGATGGCCACACCAACTCGGCCCCTGACACACTGACCAGATGCTTGGAGGCTGTGGTGGGTGGTTTTGTGGGAGTTGATTGAAACTAAATCCTCTGGCTCCTCTGGCTGGGTTGGGATGGCATGGGGATGAGGGACCAACTCCCTTCTCTTGTGGGGGCCCAATTAGTGCCAGTGCCTTCTGTTAGAGTTTGGATGTAATCCTTGACACCTCCCTTTCCATGGAGGCGCAGGTTACAGCAACAGCTAAGGCGACATTTTTCCATCTTAGAAGCACTAAGCAGTTGGTCCCTTACCTTTCCCGCCCCAATCTGGCCACAGTGATCCATATGACAGTCACCTCCAGGCTTTACTGTAATTCGCTCTACATGGGGCTGCCCTTGAACCTGTCCCAGAAACTCCAGCGGGTGCAGAATGCTGCGGCGAGGCTCCTCACGGGGTCCCTGCCATGGGAGCATATTCACCCAGTGCTTTACCAGTTGCACTGGCTCCTGGTGGAGTTAGGGTCAGGTTCAAGGTACTGGTTTTGACCTTTAAAGCCCTTTGTGGCTTGGGGCCCTCTTATTTATGAGACCACCTCTCCTGGTATGCCCCGCAGAGGACCTTAAGGTCCATGAAGAACCATAGTTTAGAGGTCCCAGGCCCTAAGGAAGTCAGACTATCATCCACCAAGGCCAGGGCCTTTTCAGCGATGGCTCCGACCTGGTGGAATGCTGTCCCATGAGACTAGGGCCCTTCAGGGTTTAACCTCCTTTTGCCGGGCCTGTAAGACAGAGCTATTCCGCCTGGCCTTTAATTTGAATTCAGCCTGATCTTTTATTTCCTTTCTCTTTCCTCTCCCTCCCCTTTTATGAAGATTACCAAGTAGGACTAATTCAGCCAGCTAGCCCTGGTGACTATTGTAACAGAGGCAGTATGCATCTGAATGCCAGTTGCTGAGAATCAGTGCTGCTCCTCTCAGATCCCACCTGCAGGTTCCCAGAGGCATCTGATCAGCCACCATGAGAACAGGATGCTGGACCAGACAGGGCTTTTTGGCCTGATCAAGTAGTGCTGCTCTTATGACTTCTGCAAACTTTTAGATGGTGGTGTGATGTTCCCTTTTTCTTCCGACTCCCAACTCCCACCGGCCCCAGGCAGCATGACCAATGAGCAGGGATGATGGAAGTTGCAATCCAAAAGCACCAGCAGAAGTTTCCCCACCCATTCTAAAATGTTTAGCAAATAGACAGGCTAGGTGAAATCAGACTAACCTTTGCAAGGAGGTAACGTTTTTTATAGTGACTGCTGGTTAAAAGCTTCAGTTGGTGCTGTTGCCATGCCTGCTTGTTGAGTCTGAGCCCCAAAACATTTATGTGTGCAGTTCTGGCCACTGCCATTCAGTTAGTTACCTTCTTCCACTTTCTGCATTGGTTGCAGACACCACCCCTGGTCCCGGCACTTACAATGTGGAGAGAGGGCACATCGCTCGCCTACCTTGCTCCCCCAGCTTCTTCATCCAAGGCGTGAGGCGACCCAAGAAGCACGAGACAGGGCCATTTTCAACGCTGTGACACCCCCCCCACCAGGAGCGTGATTAAAAGCCTGATTGCCCTGAAGCTGCATGCCCCATTTCTGCCCAGTGTTTAACATTCCAGGCAGCTCTTGCAACTTTCAATACAGGCTCAGACTTGTTAAAAGCACAAATCCTGTTATCTTAGCCATCTGGGTATCCACCTAACCTGAATTAATGGGAGGGGGAATAATGTACATAAATTAAAAAAGAAGCTGCATGGGTATACTAATTTAACAGCAAAGCAGAGAAATCTTATTTGTGCAGTTGAAGGACCAACAAAATTTTTCTTTTTTCTTTCTTTACAAAATCAGCTTCCTCAATCTCTGCTCCTGCAGTGTCCCACCCTAGCAACTCCTGAAAAAATAGTGGGGTGATGGGACTCTGTAAAGTCTGATCAGAATATATACCATTCAACTTAAGCTGCAGAGTTTTATAACTTGGAAGGCTCCACAACTTAAGTTGAAGTTCAACAGTGAGACTATTGATGCCACCGTGATGTTGTGGGGCTGTTTCTTTTCCCCATTCCTGTCTTAAGACCTTCTAACAACAGTGCTTCACCGCGCAGAAATGACACTGTCCAAAAAGTAAAAACAAATTAATTTTATGGCTGAGTGGGGACATCAGCCCTAATTTCCAGGGTCCTGATCCAAAACTCCATAATCACCCATGGTGTTAAAGCAACCTGTAGTCCTATAAATGGCAAGGAAATCATGTTGATGTAACTATTTTTTACAGGCTTACACATCTGGTGTACATTTTTATCTTAAAAGTGCAGAGTATAAACACAAGCCTGCTCACACTCTAGGTAACTGGGAAGAAGAAACCCAGCAAGAACAGCAGCAGAACCTCTAACACGAGAAATACTCTTGACAGAAGTACACATCAGAATGAGAGCCATTATCACCACAAGTGTGAAACTGCATTTATTACCAATATTCACCATACACCATACAGAACTTGCTTTAAGTTGCATCATGTCCATTCAGGTAGCAGCCTTAGCTCTGTAGGGAAGGAAATAAGTTTGGAATTAGAAATAGATAATTCAATTTGGTACCAAGGTAAGGAGAAAAACAACATATGCAGCCTGTTTCATGGGAAGGCAGGCACTTACTGGAGGACATTCAACTGCACCACTATTGATGTCATCGATTACATCGTGAGGGTGTCGCCCATCGATATTGCAGCCAACAGACTGGGCTGTTCCCAAGATCTCCTTAATGGTTCCTGTAGATGGGGCAGGAAAGTACATTATGTCATGATGGCTGCTGCGCTCATGACCTTTCTGCCAGATGGTCAGCAAAGCATAGCCTCATCCAGATTAGACTCCCTGAATTGAGTCACCCCAGCTCCAACTTTACGGAAGGTATGGGTAGTGAATATGGGTAGACATTGCTGTTGGGACTACAACTCCCAGAATCCCTGATGAAGGGCCATGCTGGCTGGGGATATTGGCAATAACTCGAATGTCACAGGACTTTCAAAAAAATCAAGGGGGGCTGTAATAGTGAGGTACAAGGGGGCCTGGGAGCCAACTAAATAGAAGGCAGCTTCATTTGCTTCAGCATTTGTTACATGGAACTCATGAGCTTGTCATACATCCAGACCCTCCACCCTCACCTTCCCTGCTTTTACCTGAGAGTTCCCGGGCCAAGGATCGGTGCCGCATCTGCCGGGCAATGTTCACAATCTCCTCAAAGCTGATATTGCCACTGTGCTTAACTGTAAACAAAGAGAGAACTCACATTAGTCAGGTTTTGGGAGCAGACAAGCCTCATCAGCCAGTCCTCTTAAAATATAAAAAGGGACTGTGGCAGTGTTGTTCTTGCTCTGTTCCCATTCTTCGGCACAGAGTTACCCATGAAGAGAAATAACCCTGTTTCCTTGAATGGCGGTTTCCTCTTAGCTCACCACTGGAATGTACAAGCCACAGATGAAATCAGGCAGGCACAGTGGCGGGTGGCTGTTGCAGACAGAACTACAGCATCACACTGATCCATATTTCAGCTCTTTTGGCACTGTAGCTTTCCAAATTTCCCATCTACCCTCATACAAACCAGATTTTTTATGAGCATGATTGAGGGCACTAGTACAATTCCTCGAAAGGACCTCCTGATTCTTAAAATTTTATTTTTTTAATCACTCTATCCTAAATCTTTGCAAAACAAACCATGGTTCTACTTCCATCTTTATAACTGCCCAGCTGCAATTCACCACCTAAGCAAACCACCACCACCGGACACTCACTGTTTTTCTGCTTTTTGCGGTCACGGGGAGGCTCCTTCAGAGCTTTGATGATCAAGGCAGAGGCTGATGGGACCACCTCGATCTAGAAAGCAAAACAGTCCAGATTGAGACTCATGTGAGGCAGGGGTGGGAAGGAGGAGCAATACACTGACTACAGAAAACCTGGCATGGAAAGAAAAATCCCACCCTCCACCACAGCTCCTCCCAACTCCCAGGGCTGCATCTAACAAAATTGTCTCATTCACATAGGGACTTCTGCTTGTGCAACAGAACACCCTCCTTCTTTCTGCCTCCTGAGCACCTATTCAATCTGTTCAGGGGCCCATCAGGAGCAGACATTCTGTTGCAAAAGCAGAAGACCTTGTGCTCGTAGAACGCTGGATGACAAAGCACTATTTCACATATACACTCCTAAAACTTTTTAATATGAATTTAACTTATCATGAAACAAAACCATCCTCTTCTATAAGGTTTGTGTCCCCAGTTTTTCGGCACAGGACTCTCCATGGGTCAGATAGAAGAGTTCTGCTTCCTAAGCTGGGGTTTGTTATTAGCTCACCACTGGAACATGCCAGTCACTGTTGCACGAAAGGCATGGTGGCGGGTGGCTGTCAGGAAAGCCCAGGGCCTCCCAGGGTCTTAGCTCTAATCCAGGGTTTATCATGTTTCAGAGCTGATTCAAGGTACACATCTGTATAGCAAGGGACGAACACGACTGGCCTACCTCACAAGGCTGTTACAAAAAGTGACGCCAATGCTAAAAAAAAGGCAGCATGCATAAATGCCAAATATTGCTAGGAGCTAAGGGGAAATGTTATTTGGGGACCAATAGTCAAGTTCAAAAGTTTCTCTAGCCAAAGGCCATAACGAACTTATAGCAATTGCATTAATAAAATAATATTGATCATAGATCTGTAAAGTAAGCCAACATCCATGATGAGAAGATACCAGAGACACCAACAAGCTTAAATCTAGCTTGATTTCAGATTAAATGTCAAAAAACCAGAAAACAAAACAACCTTATAGCAATTTTATCTAAAATCCTTTATTCAAGTCAATGAGCGCAGTTGAGGAAAATAATAATAGTCTAAATCAGGGACGTCCAACTCCCAAAAGACTGTGATCTACTCCCAGAAAATGGTTGGACATCTCTTGGTTGGACAAGCTGCTTTCCAGAGCTTGCAATCACCCAATTCCACATAGCACAAGTAAACAATCAATCGGCATGGTATCAATTATTTTAATATACTTTAACATAGAATAGCAGTTGACATTCCTGATATCATGAACTACAACTCCCATAAATCCTGATCACTGGTCCTGCTAGCTAGGAATGATGGGAACTGTAGTTCAACATCTGGATACGTTGCAACCGCCTAATGACCAGGACCGTGTTTTTAAGGTCTGGATCCAAAGACCTCCCACACAGCAAGCTGCATGGCACTCATTTTATCGACCTCGGAAGGATGAAAGGCTGAGTCAACCTTGCCAGGATCATGGCTCTGTGGCACTAGCACAGCAGGGCATTTTCAAATGCCAGTGCTTTTGGCCACAGACCCGTCCTTTGTGGCGTTGTCTGTACCTGAGCTTGCCTGTTCTGGATGGTCAGCTTAACCGTGATCCTCAGGCCCTTCCAGTCGCCGGTAGCCTTGGCAATGTCATCACCCACCTTTTTGGGAGACTAAAAGAAAAAAGAACAACAACAGGTATAACCAATGGGATACTTAAGTCCTGTCCCCCCTAACCTCCCCTCTAATCCAGCAACTGACCACAGATTTAGGTGCTTCACTAACTACATTCTGCCTCCTTAAGTCTCAAGCCTTGCAGCAGCACCCAAGCAACACATGTGGGAAACCTGCACTCCAGACATACAATGCTTGTCTTGCAAACAAGCTTTAAGGTTTCTGTTTGTTATTATTTATTAACTAATTAAATTTCTATACTATCCCAACGATCATAGGGTGGTGTATAATATAAACAAAATATCTATCTAGTCCACAAGATATTGTCTGAGCCTCATCTGGTGATACATTGCATTGAGAAACTGCAGGGGAAACAAATTCTGAAGAGCTTCCTTGCCTACTGTGTCCTAAAGGGGTGACCAAAACCAGCAAATAGGTAATTTAAAAGCCTGCAGGTATGTATAGTTATACTTCAAGTATTTCCACTCCCCAAATCAAGTTGCATAAAAACAGAAATTAAGAAACTGCTGGCAAGAAGAATTTAACTTACCAGTGTACCACAACTTCATTTAAACAATCCAAAAATTTACAGCAGAAGCATTGCAGAAAATGTGCAGCTGGCTTAGTTGCCTGCCTAAGCCAACTGGCACCGAAAAGTTTTCTGCACGTGTTTAAACTTTAAAAAAGGTACCCTGCTGAATCTCTAAGGGAAGAGCCTTCCATAGGAAATGGGCCAATAGTGCTACTTTGCCTTCAGAATTTGAATTGTCACCACTTGCATTCAGCAGCAGAACTGGACAAAGTTTTCATCACAAGGCTTTGGGTTCTGAACAGAGGTCTGGATAGCTGCACCTGGTCCCTGCGCATGTGGCTCTCTATTCCCACTCTACCCATTAGCATTTCTGTGGTTGAATAAGAACTGACTTACCAAACCCAGAGGCCCGATTTTTGGAGCCAGAGCTGAAGTGGCACCAACTTCGCCCCCAGTGCATCTTAAGAAAACTGTAAGAAGAGAGGGGGGGGGAGAGAAAACCAGCACATTAAATATAATTATAAGCCACTGTGGTATCATGGCAAAACACCAATACAAAAAATCATACAGGGGATAAACTGCTGGAAAAATGGTAAGAGCTTCACCCTAAAGCAAGGTCTCACTTCCCTTTAGCTGAGATTCCTGCACTGAAGAGGGTTGGACTAGATGACCCTTGGTGTCCTTCCAACTGTAATTCTATGATTCTAAGAACCATGTTCAAATTTCAGCTAAGCCACAAAACTGGGTGACTTTCAGTCTGACATTCACTTGTCTTCCAGCACAGCCTATTTACACAGGGTTGTTCTGAAGATAAAAATAATGCATACAAGTAAAAAGAACCATATCAATATGCTGCTTCAGGGCCTTTGTAGAAAGGTTAAAAATGAAGCAAATCCTGTTGGCTGGACTAGATAGGGCTAGTATTATGTTCTTAATATATCAAAAGAGCTGAATAACTTAGAGAATTTCAATCAAGACTATGAATCCTACCACTCCCGAACGATTTAGCACTCTTTGATTTTCATGTAAGTGTTGTTAATGCACTTAACACAGAAAGTGAGAATATTCAGTCGTTGGTGTTCCAGAGTTATAATAATCAGGTCACAGTGCGGTTTGCCAGTCTGAGTACATAAATACTCTTGGATGTGGTGCAAGGTATCTAATTTTCAAAGACTGGAAACTATAAACATAGTACAGAAAATAAACGCAGAGCTTGTCCGCTGTCATGTACCAATACAAACGCATACAAGAATAGATAAAACAAAAATACAACGGGGAGGAAAACCTAAAAACCGAGAATACAATACACTTATCATTTATAATGTATTTTGTATGTGTTATATCTATCTATCTATCTATTTAAAGTACCGGTGGCATTTGAATGAGATGAAAGAACACCGGTCTAGGTAATTTTAAAAATATGCCACTAACTTGAAAAGGGGCATGGAAGGTTCTGTGGAGAAGCATAGCAAATAAAGGCTAAAAAGCAAGCTGAACACGTCATGTACACGTGCCAGTCGGCCCCCCGCCCCCACCGAGATGTAGACGTTACCACTCCATAGGCCAGCCCAGGCGAGTTGATCGGGCCCCAACTCCAAATAAACGGTCCTCCAAAACGCTTCGAGCCGAAAGACTTACCGACTTTGATCTCGTTGGGGTCGAACTTGGGCGGCATGACTGCGAATTGGATGCCAAGCTAAGCTCCAAGGAGGATGGCGTCGGATTCAGGAGAGCGACCAGCTCTTCCTCGCCCGTAAGACCGAAGTGGCAAAAGGACCGGTTGCGTGCGATCCCGCAGGATATAATATCTAAGATCTCGCGAGATTACACTCACCCGACCTCTGATGCTTTGAAGGGTGAGTCAAAGGAAGTCATCTTAGGTTTGGCCAGGAGGGGCGGACCAAACTTCCGGTCGTTTATTGAAAAAACACCGTGTTCTCTTCGAATTCATAGTACGTAGTGCTTCTCTACACTTTAGTATCTCTACTTTGCGTTGCCTACATCCTTGCCCACAACCCTCCCGCCGTCCAATAAGCACAGTTGCTCTTCCAGCCACAACCTCGCGAGACTCAAAACGCCCTGCCGCCATGTCCACTATGGGCATTCACTGTGGAGGAGCGAGGCTGCGGTCTCCATTTTAGATGTGGGCGAGAGACCGAAGTCTGTAGGCACAAGAGATCGTTCTAAGGTGTAGCCTCTGTGTAACAGAGCGCGAATATTTCCTGAGCCGGTTCGATGTTTGTTTCTTCGTTTACGGAAGAGAAGTGGGCAGGGAGAAAGACAAAGAGTTTGGCGGTGGTGAGGGAACGGTATGAGCCGGTAAGTACAGGGCGCGGGAGGGGACATTGTCGAGGTGGGCGTGGCCTAAGGCGTAGCTGGAGGCGGGGCTACTCCTCAGCATTCCCCCTCCCTCCCGCACTTCTGGGTGTGGCCAAGAGAGCTGCTGTTTCTCGCCCCCACCCCCGCCGTGTTGCAATGATTGCCTGAGAGCAGCCAAGGCTGCCATTGGGGCTCCTTCTCCACACCCCCTAGCATGACAGGCTTGGCAAAGCCGCACCTGTTGAACTTCTGCCTACCCGTCGAGCCCTCCAGCGCCTCTTGAGTGACAAGCGCAGCCCTGGGCAGTGGGCATGTTTATTTAGAAGTAAACCCCACAGTACACCCTCGTCTCCCCCCCATGGGGATTTCTCCCAGGTAAGTTACTAGTCCTCATGACCCTGTTTTTCACCCGCTGCCTCTGATTGCCCGTTGCTGGGGAAACCGCAAGCGCGGGGAGGGTTGTTGCGTTCGGGTCCTGCTTTCGGGCTTCCTACTGGGGCTTCTGGCTAGCCTTGGACCAGATCCTGCAGGGCTCACCTTATGTTCTTCAATGAACAGCCCAAGCTCTGCATGCAGCCCAAGGCGGGGGCTCCCTAGGAAACAGAAGCGCGAGTCCTTGTAGGGCATGGGGTGGTGGCAGTAGATCTGATGAAATTTGGTTTGAACCCACAAAATAGAAACCCAGCTTTTATCCCATTTGAATCCATAGCTTAACAACTGTCCATCTCATTTAGACACCTGTTTGGATGTATGGACTGTGTACATTAATCTTTGATGGTTAAGTCAGAATTGAGGGGATATTCTTAATGTAAATACAAGCTAGGAAGATTTTATCTTTCTTCCTCTTCTGATATGTTTGCAATCTTCTATTAAAAGCGAAAGCTACATAAACAAAGTGTTCAAGGACACAGTTCTCGTGGAGATTTTGGGGAGTCAGGAAAGATTGCTGCGCCAGTTTAGACCATATTGGGGAACACTTACGATGTGATGCTCTTCCACTGAAAAAACCAAAAGCTGAATACAGTATATTCTTTTAAAAATAGTCTAGTAGAAACGTTCTGGCAGGTTCCCTACATTCAGGGATCGGAATGGAGAAAGTCAGGACCTTCCTGCAGTTTGAAGTAGCGTAGTGCTGCCTGCTTCATGATAGATGGAGATAGGTCAGATCCAGCATTGCCTATCACTGCTGGGAATCACTTGGTTAAATGCCTGTCTGCTGATAGCACTCAGGATTGTGGCTCATATTTTTCTCTGGGGAGCAGGGGTGTGTGTTTTGCCTGTGAGTCCTGGAAGACCTGTTCCCTGCTTTGCAGGGCTTTTTCCACTTGGACTGAGAGGATGGGGCCCTGACTGACTCCAGCTACAGAAGAACTGACACTTGGGCTGGGGTGTTGTTTAGGATTTTTTGTTGCTGTTATTTATATTAATTTTAAATATATCTATTTTAGGTCTTATGATGATTTTTGTGGAAATGGTTCAGTTTGGTTGTGTACTATCTGACACCCTGGAGAGTCAGTCAGTGTAGACAATAATGAGACTGAGGAATCAAAGTGACTCAGCATAAGGCAGCTCACTATGTTATTATGGGAGCTTTTCCTGTCAGTACACACCCATGCTTTGAAAAGCTGCCCCTGTTGAATTTCTGACTTTCAGACAGGTGTTAAAGGCACTAGTTTAACTCTCATGCTTTGGACTCTCCACCTCAACCCCATGCTAACCCGTGCCCCAGGCAATGAGCTACCTGATGAATTTTCTAGACCCATTACCTTGCCAGGCTGTTGATAAAACAATGGCAGTCTTCAGCATTGCCACTATCTTCTTTCCTGCATGTGAGAATGGGTGTGGAAGCTCACACACACAGCAGGAGTTAGTTGCCTTTATTGTACTGGGAGTGGGAGGATTACAGGCACGTTTTGGTCCAGTGGCTATTGGTGGCTGACCCCTTTCTTATACAAATGTCCCAGCTTGTGTAACTGAGGTGCCACGACAGGGCAGGGAATGTGAAACCTCGGGTCCAGGGGCCAAATACTGCCCTAGGTGTCCGTATGGCCCTCTGCACTCATCCCAGGCCACACACCCCTTAAGCCAGGCCTCTCTGCACCACCACAACCCCCTGGTCAATTTTACTGAGAGCCAGTGTGGTGTAGTGGTTAAGAGCGGTAGTCTCGTAATCTGGGGAACCGGGTTCGCGTCTCCGCTCCTCCACATGCAGCTGCTGGGTGACCTTGGGCCAGTCACACTTCTTTGAAGTCTCTCAGCCCCACTCACCTCACAGGGTGTTTGTTGTGGGGGAGGAAGGGAAAGGAGATTGTTAGCCGCTTTGAGACTCCTGAAGGGGAGTGAAAGGCGGGATATCAAATCCAAACTCTTCTCTTCTTCTCTTCTTTATGTGATGGAGGTTCGCCCGTGGTATCTGTCTGGCTACACCCCACCACTGCAGCCCCTGGAAGGTTCCTCACAAGGGAATGTAGCTCTTGAGCCAAAAAAGGCTTCTCCACCCCTGAACTACAGAAGGGTTATGAGAAATAAAATTCATAAATGTGTTTTTATTTATTCTCTCCCCCCCCCACCCGCCCCCAACTTCTCCAGAGGGCGGCACCTTGAGCAGAACCCGTCCAACATGAGCAGCTTCTTCTCAGACTGACAGAGATGTAATTCCTGTTGCTCAGGTTGTGGTTGCCTTCCTGCCTTTCGTTTCCTTTTTCCATCTCTGAGTTGGGATAAAGGGAAGACAAGAGGAAGATGCCGCTCTTCTTCCGTAAAAGGAAACCCAGCGATGAAGCCCGCAAGCGCCTTGAGTACCAAATGTGCCTGGTAAGTCAGCCAGAACTAGGTGGGCCAGCTGCTGGGACTCTTCAGGCTAGCGGGGGCTCCACTAAGGTTCTGAGGAATCTTCTGGAACCATTAAAGAATGTCATCACCTGGTCTTTCCTGTCCCTTGTTACAGATGAATCCTAAGCAGGCTGGATGGATGTAGCAGATCCACAGTATAAAAGTCCTGCCGCCATGTGATAATTTGTTTCATAAAACTATGCCAACTCTGGGATGATGCAGCTGGGGGGGGCACCAAGCTGGTATATAGACATTCTTAGTAGCTCTTCCAGTCCTGCGCTGGTTTTTGAGCTGGAGTTGGTGTAAACACACCCCAACCTCAGCTGAATCCTATCATCTCCCTTCTGTCCAGGAGTCTGCTTGAGAAGATGGTCTTACATCCCAAGGAGACCTTGCCTGTAGTTGGGAACTTCTCCAGATGGACCGGGATGAACCTGGTGTTTAAGGCTTTCCCTTGGGCTTGGGACATGTCCAAACTCAATGCCAGAGGCCAAATTCACCCCTGGTGCTGGTCATCTGTCCTAGGCCTCATCACTCCTCACCCCCAGATGGAGTGTGACCCAGGGCTTGGTGTAAGGCTGGAGGCTCCTGGTCCTTCTCTGATGAGGAGTCGCACTGTCGAGGCATGACAGCCACCTCTGATTGGGACTCACCCTGTTGGGACACCACATCTGTATTGCCTGCACCGACTGATGGTGGCTCTCTAGGGTTTTCAGAGAAGGGATGCTCCCAACCCAACCTGGGGATGCCAGGGATTGAACCTGGGACCTTCTGCATACAGAAGAAATGCTGTGCCACCAAGCTACAGCCCTTCCCCAAAGTATTTGGCAGGGCTTGGAGCACACCTCTGACAACTGGAGACTTGTAAGCAACATGGGCGCAGTGGGGCTTACTCATGCGCCCCTCCCTAAATATACATATATATTACTTTGATTACATTCAGTGAGCAATTGAGATAAGGCCGGCAACCATCTGATTTCTCGTTTTTGCAAATGCAGCTCACCTGTCTGTCTCTCAACAGGCAAAGGAAGCCGGAGCTGATGATATACTTGACATATCCAAATGTGAACTCTTAGAGGTACGTTTCCGGTGATGCTGACTCCCAAATGTTGGCCAAGTGGTTGGGTGGGAGACATGCTGTTGACATCAGAACCTAAGAAGAGCCCTGCTGGATCAGACCAATGCCCCATTTTGCTCAGCATCCTGTTCTCACTGCAGCCAGCCAGATGCCCCAGTGGGACAGCCGCAGGTTGGACCTGAGCATAAGAGCACCCACTCCTCCTGCAGCATCAAAAAGCATTACTGCCTCCAACTGTGGAGGCAGAGCATAGCCACCATGGCTAGTTGCTATGCATAGCCACCTCCTCCATGAATCTGTCTAATATTCTTTTAAATCTTTCCAAGTTGCTGGCCATCACTACCTCCAGTGGGAGGGAGTTCCACAGTTACTATGCATTGCATGCAGAAGTACTTTATTTGCAGCGATGGTTAAGGATCAAAAGCTCTGCTGGTTTCACTTCAGGGCATTGCTTTGGAACTAAAAACACCCCCCCCCCCATCCTTTGGGCATTATCTTTGAGTTGTGGTGCCATATTCTGAAGAGTGATACCTTTTATTATCATCTTTCAGCAGAAGATGTTATGCAGGAACGGGTTCCTCTTTCCACCTGTTTCAGAGGCAGAAATGTGTAAATAACTGCGCTTGACACCCATCACCATAGGATCTGTGTTGTATCTTGACATCAAGAACTGGGAGCATCAACCCTCCTGATGTTGTTGGACTCCAATGCCCATCAGCCCCAGTCAGTGTGGCCAATGGTGAGAGATGATGGAAGTTGTAGTCCAACAATTATCTGGAGGGCTGCAGGGTCATTGTCCCTGGGTGGATCTTCTTGTCATTCTTATTGTCAGGAGGTCTGTTCTGCACAGTACAGGAACAGGGCCTTTTGGAATGCCCTCCCTTTAAATATCAGACAAGCGCTGCCTCTGTTGTCTGTTCTGTGCCTGTGATGACCTTCCAACAACCTTCTAAAGCAGAGATCTTTCCCCATCTGCGTCTGCGTTTCAATTGCTTTTATGTGGTTTAATGGTTATAGTGCTTCTTGTTTGCCACCCTGGGCTCCTTTGGGCAGAAAGTGGGGGCCTATAAATCTGATAAATAATGGTAATATGCCCCAAGACAAAATGACCCTTGCATAAAGTATCTCTTTTGTATTTTTTTCTGATCGCCCCTCTCTCACACAATAACATTTTATGTGACCAGCATTTGGTTTTGTTCTATGCCTGCTTTTAGATTCCGTATGGCGCCTTGGCGACCTGTAAAGTCTTGCAGAAGAAGGTAAGGGACATGTTTCAATGCGTTAGTACAGGCTTTGTCCACTGGGCAAAAGCCCTCCAGACATTGTTTCCCTGCAGTTCTCATCATCCCCACCCAGCATGTAGTCCAAAATGGCTCTGCTGACTGGGGCTGATGGGAGTTGTAGTCCAAAATACCCAGAGAGCATTAGGTTGACAAAGTCTTTGTTGACACACAGGCCAATATAATAAAATTAGGTGGTGGCATCTCTATGAATCATACTCTTCCTGTGTCCTCCCCTGCTAAACAATTTATGAGGCTGGAGAACCCTCTTGTCCACGCAGAGCAAGAAATGGCTTGTGGCCTCAAACAACAGGCAAAGTCTCATGTCCGTAGGCAGAAATGGGGCCCTTTGAGTCCTGACCAATGTGCTTTTGAATGTGTAGCGATTCCCTCTCCCTGTTGTGTTTTAACTTTCCTCAAACACCCTGGAGGGTTTTTCTGGGAGCAAAAGCAGTCCAAGCCTATACAGTGTCTTGCTGGCAAGGTCCATTTCTTCATTGCCTTGCAGATCACTTGTTGCACTGGTTTCCCAAATCATAGTGGCAGTAAACCATGATTTAAATGGGTGCACTGAACCTGCAGGCACTTCACTCCCTCTGCCCCTCTGTCTCCACTCCCAGGAAACAAGTCTAGGTTTGCGCTAACTCTGAACCCAGGTTCACCATTTATTTCTCTCCAAGCAAACCACAAGTGAGTTAGCCAAGAACAAACCTTGATTATGGCTCCCAGCATCACTCTGATAATATCCTCTCTGCTTCTTTCATTGCCTAGGTGCTGATTGCTCACACCAATTGCTTGACATCTCTGACCCCTAAATCCTGTAGCATCCTGAATCTCCTAACTGTGAAGGTAACTTGAAACTCTCTCCTTTTTTTTTTTGCAAATAACTCAAGAGGAAGGAATGAATCATTGAGTGGAAGCTTCTGGACCTGATAGTGAAGAAGGCACAGAACCACTGTGTGTGTGTTGACAGAAGGGGGCTCTTGAAACTAGGTCCCATTCCAATGTGATTTTGTTCCATGTCTTGTTTAAATATACGAGAGACCTCGGAGAGAGAAGGGGAAGGTCTCAGAGATACACAGAGAAGAATGGGAGGAAGAGAGAAGCAGGGTGTCACAGACCAAGAAAGAGGAATAAGGGCATGTCAGGGACAGAGAAGTGTGTGTGAGAGAGAGAGGGGAGGGAGGGGGTGCCAAGGACAGAGAAAGAGGAAGAAGCAGTTTGTCAGAGACAGAAAAGTGAGTGGTCCGCTCTCCACTGGCTTTGGCCTCTAACAGGTTAGTGCTGAGGGAGTGTGGCCCTCAATAGAGAAAAAATGTTCTCCAGCCCTGCTATGAAGGCTTACCAGCTAAATGAACGGCCATTTTCCTTCTTTGCCCTTCCAGGTTTTAGATCTACATGACAACCAGCTGACCTCACTTCCTCCTGATATTGGCCAACTGACATCTCTCCAGGTAAAAGAGACAAAACACATCCTGGAGGAGAATTCTGTTCTGAATTGTTTCTCGTGTACAGTGTCAGTGTGGTGACTCAGAAAGTATGGGAACTTTTCCATCTCTTTTGGGACCGTGAAGGCTCAGACTAGCCCCTCAAAATGGGATAGTGAAACCAAGGGCTGAATGGAGAGCCTTCTTATTGCTTGAGGCTAGGACCTTTCTGGGTTAGTTACCACAGAGCAGAAACAGAGAGAAACCTGTGTGGAACATCAGCCCGTGTGACTGGCTGCCAGTGTGAAACCTGCTGATTGGCCAGGTCTCTATGAATACCAAGAGCCTGGCATTCCTGTTTTTTTGTTTGTTTTCATGTTTTTATATCCTGACATTCTCTCAAGTTGGGATTCAAAGTGGCTTCCAACATTCAAAACAATCATTGTAAAATACAAATAAAATCAGACCAATTTAAAAAATAGCTTAAATACATAAAAACACAATTAGAACCAGCAGTTAAAATCCAATTTGCCCTGACAGCAGCTGAATGATCAGTATCATCTGCACCTTAGTTTCCAAAAGTCCATCCGAACATGAAGATATTAGTCTATTGGTGGAAGGATAGCAAAGAGGGAGCCAGTATAACCTCTCTTGGGAGGGAATGCTACAATCGGGGTGCAGTTTCTTGTGTCACCACAAACAATGCTTCCAATGTTGATTGGACCATGAGAAGGTGATGCCATGGACTGGCTGGACACAGAGGAATGGTGGGAGGCACTTGCTGGGGAACCCCCAAGGGACAAAGTTCTCAGAGTCTGGGATTGGTGGTGGGATGACAATGCGTGGTCAGAGGGAGAAGCTTGGAGGAGGAGGTGTTGAAAGCTGAAGCACTAACAGGCTCTAGTGAGCAGGGAGAGTGTGACAGAGAGAAGTCCAGAATCAGAAGTAGAGGCAGAAACAGGACAGGAAGAAGACCAAGAGGTAGAGAGGAGTCAGGCTGGTGAAGATACCAGGATGTATCCCCCTCCTTCTGCCACAAGCTCTGCTCCTCTCCCCCTGGTCTCCCAGGACCAGGAGAGGCACGAAGAGGGAGGAGCAGAGACAGGTGCATTGGCAGAATCTCAGATTGCTCGGGAAAGATCTTGGGAAGAATCTAGGGGGGGAGGAGATTTAGACAGCTGTGGGAAGGTGGGGACCTTCAGCCTCCACAACTGCCTCATAGAGGCAGAGTTGCTGTGCTCATTAGGCTTGACACCCCTCAGCTGACCTTGTTTCTTCTAAGAAGGAGTTAACTTCATTTACTCTGTGTGATTTATTGCTGGCTGGCTCCCTTACAAGTGCTCACCTGAGGTTTTAGGAGGGTCATCAAAACAAGACATTTTGTCTCCTGCCCTCAAGACCAGCCTGCTGAACTCAAAAGACTCAGCACTCTGTAAAGTGCACCCTCTGAATTGGATTTCACAGGAACTTCCTACTGCCTCTCTCTAATAGAACAGGAAGGAGACCGACCCCTCTTGTTTCTGCTCTCTGTCCTTGGTAGGTCCTGAACTTTGAAAAGAATCTATTGAAGGCCCTTCCAGATTCGATAGGGGACCTTGTCCAGCTGCAGACGCTTAATCTGAAAGGTAGGAGGAAATGCCTCAGGCGGCAATCCGCAGGGATAAAGGAACATATTTCACAGTAATAAAAACACTTAAAACTAGTTTTATAAATAATTGTAGTAAAAACATCCAGTTCCTTCATCTGCCCAAACGCCCGGGGTAACCAAAAATGTTGTTGCCTGGTGCCCAAGCAGTGACAAGGCTGGTACCAGATTGGACTTCCCCATGGGAGCATTTTCCATTCTAGGGGTCGATAGGAAAAGAATTGAAAATAAAACTTCTTTTTTTTTTTTGCATCATAATTTTTATTATTTCAACATAAACAGACAAAATTAAACAAACAGTTTCATATAATTCTACAAATTCATTCTTAAGACTTCCTTCGACCTCTCCGCAAATCTTTCATTGTCTATCTAACACATATTTTCGCATCTCTTACTATCTATTGACATTGTTCAGAAAATAAAACTTCTGACATCATCAAGCCATTATACAAATATACACACACATATATCTAAGAAGTGTGTTAATATCTGCGTCTTGCACATTCTCCCTTCTCTTTTTTAAAGTAATTTTTATTCAAAATTTCAACATAACAATTTATCAAAAACATATCCTCCTCACTCCCCTCCTATTTTCCCTCCCCAGAAAAAGCCCCCCACCCCACCCCCGGATTTCCCTCAGCTCCTCTTTCTGGTTTTTCAGCACATGCTATTCTCTGCATATTATAAAATTGTTAAGATCTTTAAATTATCTGTCTTTATGTTACCCATAATAAATTTGTGTATGTTTATTCAAAACCTGCCAAGGAGTCCAGTTCATTTTGTTGTTTCCTTAACTGCTTTGTAAAAGGTTCCCATTCTTCTTTTAAATCACAGTTGTCCTTATCATGCAGTTGGTGCGTCAATTTCGCCAATTCTGCATAGTCCATCAGTTTCTCTTGCCACAGTTCTTTTGTCGGGATTTCTTCATTCTTCCATCCTTGTGCTATTAAGACTCTTGCCGCCATTGTTGCATACATGAATACGTTCTTCAATTTCCTTGGCAGGTCTTTTCCTACAATCCCTAACAGAAATGCTTCAGGCTTTTTTACAAATGTTAATTGGCACATTCTGCCTTCTCTGGCAGGCAACAAGCTGAAGGAACTGCCAGCCTCCCTAGGTGGCCTGCGTAGCCTACGGACCTTAGACATCAGCGAAAACCTAGTGCAGGAGTTGCCGCAGGCACTGGCTCACATCCGAACACTGGAGGTACGTGCCCAAAGAAGTTTTTGCTGTGTGTGTGTGTGCGTTGCAAAATTCATATGGAGTGGAAGGAAGAGGTCAATATGGAGCTGGAAAGGAAAGCTTTGCTTCTTTCAGATCATATACGATGCGTATAAACAACTCTTCTCTTCCTGGAAAGCTTGTGTGCCAATCTAGCCTTGTGCAAAGGGCATGAATCTCAAGACTTCTCCTGCATTGCTCATCAACTAAGGCCCTCCTCTGTCTGTTGCTGAAGTGTGTTGTGATTACATCAGTTTAGTGGCCAGTTCAGAAGTGCAGGGTCCTTTCTTGATGGTCAAAGCCACACCCCTTCACAGCTAGATCCCTTTCTAAAATGCAACAATTTTATAATTATACAGTAATAATAATTAGTGACACATTGCAACAATCAATGCAGATCTTCATTTGTTGCCTTTCAGCTAGATCTTCCATTTACTGTGCAGGAACTGTGCAAATGATTTGGACTCCTCCAACATCTTCTCTCAGAGTGATTTAAGTTGTGATTCTCTTGGAAGTTCCATTGTACCTAACAGAACTTGCACACTATTCTCTTGAAACCAAAGCAGCTTTTGTTTTCAGGGTTCCTAAATGCTTAATAGTGGAGCTCACATAACTCTTTCTCCTCAGTATTTTCCCCGCTTGCTTTCTCCAGAGTGATCCTTGGAGCCAGTCCTCAGAGGATGACTCCCCTTCCTTTCATTCTGATTGGTTCAAATCAAAACAAAGGCTAAGGCTTCTTCCCAGTGGCTAAACACCCCCTTTTATGTGGATTGGGTGACACTGGAGACTGGGGCCATGTTGTGGGGTGGGAATAGTAATGGGTCTTCAACCTTCCATGACTCTGGACCACTGCATTTCTGGGTTGCACAGAAGAGAAGAGGTCAGGAGGGGGACATGATAGGGGTATATGAGATTATGCATGATGCAGAGAAAGTGGTTTCCTCCCTCTCTCATACTGCTAGAATTTGGGAGTGTTTCTGTTGCACTTGGATGCTGCTTGTGGGCTTCCCATAGGGGCATCTGGTTGGCCACTGTGAGAACAGGATGCTGGACTAGATGGGCCTTGATCCAGTAGCCAGGCTCCTCTTACCTTCTAAAATAATTATATTTCTGTCCGTTCTGCAGTCACTGACCCTGGATGCCTCGTCCATGTCCTACCCGTCCAATGACATCTGCAGCGCTGGCACAGAGGCCATCCAGCAGTTTCTGTGTGGAGGTGAGCAGAGCAGAGGGCTTGCCTAGTGCAAGCAGGGTGGAGAGGACCAGCCCAACAGCGCCTCATGCCTCTGAGACTCTTTCCTCTCCTGGGATGAAGGGCCTAGGGAGGGGCTGTAGCTCAATCGGAGTGCCTCTGCCTTGCATGCAGAAGGTCCCAGGTTCAATTCCCAGCATCCCCAAGTAGGGCTGGAAGACAACCTTGTTTGGAATTGAGAAGAGGGGCTGCTAGCCAGTATAGATGGCCCTGAGCTCCATGAACCAACGGTCTGGCTCAGTCTAAGGCCACTTCCTATGAAAACATGCTTGCTGAATTCTAGAGCCACCTCAATGCGTTTGGTTGAAGACCTGCCCATGCTGTCTTCTGGTTTCTCCCAGAATTAGGAATCGAGTACAATCCTCCCTCGCAGTATTTACTCCCAGTGTTGGAAAGTGACGGAGGTGAGACTTCGGTGGACGGAGTCAGCAGGATGGTCACGAAATATGCGGAGAATGAGGCTCAGTGGCAGGTAATTGCTGAGAAGCAGGCAGTGGTCTTCAAAGTCAGGGATAGGGAGTGTGTTACCCTCTGGATGTCGCTGGATTCCCATTGCTCTTGACCAACTGACCATGCCGGCTGCAGGGGCTTATGGGAGTTGGGCATCCTAACAGCATCTGGAGGGCCACAGATTCCCCAGCCCTGCTTTACAGGCAACCTAACAATGGTCACTGGCTTCCCTGAACTGTGAGAAGTGGTGTGTGTGTTTCTGTGTCTGTGTTTGTTTGTGTGTATGAATGAGTGGACGGGTTGCGTTAAACCCAGTTAAATCCAGGCTCCTTTTGTGAGAGCCAGTGTGGTGTAGTGGTTAAGAGCAGTGGACTCGTAATCTGGTGAACCGGGTTCGCTTCCCCACTCCTCCACATGCAGCTGCTGGGTGACCTTGGGCTAGTCACACTTCTCTGAAGTCTCTCAGCCCCACTCACCTCACAGAGTGTTTTTTGTGGGGGAGGAAGGGAAAGGAGAATGTTAGCCGCTTTGAGACTCCTTCGGGTAGTGATAAAGCGGGATATCAAATCCAAACTCTTCTTCTCTTCCTCCTTTTTCAGAACAAATTTATGGACTACGAGAAGCGGAAGGTAAGAAACATTTTCCATTGCTCAGCCCTTCTCCCTTTTGGAAAACTGTTATGCCTTCCAGATGGCTCCCTCAGCTTGTTCCATTTCTTCACTGGATCCACCAATTTTTGTGGGACAGTATTGTTTACGTACACGAGTGGCCCATATAATAATTATGATGATGGTGATAGTGATAGTGCCATCTGAAGAAAAATAGATCTGACTCAGTTTCCTCAGTCAGCAAATTCATTTGCTTTAAAGCTAGGATGGGAAAGCTTTTGGCCCTTCAAGGTTGCTGGAGTACAGCTGCCATCATCCCTGAGCATTGGTCATGCTGGCTCAGACTGATGGGAGTTAAGGGTCTAGCAAGATCTGGAGGGCCGCAGGTGTCCCCCCCCCCAGTGTAAAGTGTTGAAATAATAAAAATGCTTCAGCCAGAATGGTAGCCGGAGCACCTTACACAAGATGAGTAGCAAACAGTCCTTAACCTGCAGGTGTATAATCTAAGACATGGCACAAAAGGAATGAAGAGAGAAGAGGCAAACAAGTAAGCTCGTGCATTAGTTCTTACAAAGTTCTCGTAACAAGCAGCTTGGAAAGGAAAGGGTTTAAGGAGAGAGGAGGAGCCCAAAGTGAGCTGGTTTGCCAGCTGAATTGATGGAGTGGGCACCTGCTGTCCCATCTTACTCTATGCTCTAGCTTGGTGGATTAATTGCCCACTGGGTGGCAGCCGAAGAAGAGAGGAAAATTCAATGGAAGATGAAGTGGCAGAGTTGTGTCTGGACTATACCACTTCAAACTGCAGGTGTTAGCTTATACAACTGATTGCTCCTCTGCTTACACACGCACCGTCCCCCCCACCCCGCCCCAGAAAAGTAGCTTATTTAGCCTAGCTTTTCCATGGCATACTAGATTTCTACATGCATGAGGATTATTTATTGGGAGGGATTTTCCCCCCCAAAAAGCTTTATTTGTAAGACTAGATGACAACCCGGGACGCGGGTGGCGCTGTGGGTAAAAGCCTCAGCGCCTAGGGCTTGCCGATCGAAAGGTCGGCGGTTCGAATCCCCGCGGCGGGGTGCACTCCCGTTGCTCGGTCCCAGCGCCTGCCAACCTAGCAGTTCGAAAGCACCCCCGGGTGCAAGTAGATAAATAGGGACCGCTTACTGGTGGGAAGGTAAACGGCGTTTCCGTGTGCTGCGCTGGCTCGCCAGATGCAACTTTGTCACGCTGGCCACGTGACCCGGAAGTGTCTCCGGACAGCGCTGGCCCCCGGTCTCTTAAGTGAGATGGGCGCACCACCCTAGAGTCTGTCAAGACTGGCCCGTATGGGCAGGGGTACCTTTACCTTTACCTAGATGACAACAAGCAAAAAAACATGCAGGGGGATAACCCTTACTGTATTTTGTGTGGGTGAGCTTTCAGTTAGGCAAGCTCTTCCCCCCCCCCCCGCCCCCACCTGCAGTCTGTAGTCCAAACACAGTTTGTTCACTCCCATCTGCTGTTTATGAACACACAAGCCCTGTCTCTTGTCATGCACCGGGAGGAACACTACAAGCCACGGTATGTTCACATGTTTGCATGTGTGTGCTGATGAGGCTCTTTGTTGGTCCTTCCCAGGAGCAGAAGATGCAGGAGAAGCTGGAGTTTGAGCGCTGGTTGGATCTGGAGCAGCGAGGTCAAGCCCAGCTCATGCACCAGAGCCACGCCCAGAAAGGAGAGATCCTCCAGAGCATGAAAGAGGTATCTTGTCTGTCTCCCTTTTCCACCACCACCCCGGACCCTCCTGTTGCTCCGTGGTTAAGCTGCTCAAAAATATTTCTAAGTAAAAGAAAATGACATAGGTCATTCTAGGATGGATTGATAATTGCCCTGTAGGCAGTGATGACTGACGCCCATTGGGACTAGTAGGGTGGAAAGCAGGGAGCCCAACAGTAGATGGCGCCAGAGCCAACGACAGAGACTGCTAAGTACTTTTGTCCTCATCCTCACTTCTGAGTTCTGCAAGGGGCCACCCAGAGACTAAGAAGGAAGAAGCTGGCAGGCGGTGCTGTTACCCACTGAACTGGTTGCAAGTAGGAGGGTAGGCTGGGGAGGCAGTGCCCCATCCACCCTGATGGACCAGCCTCCACTGCCCATAAGAGAGGTTCATACATTTGCTTAATGTGGTTGGGAAAATGTGCCATTCTGCGGAATCCGGATGTAGGCTTACCCTCGGGTTGCAAGGTCCAGGGAGGCCTCTGTGGGAGTTAAGGCTGTCCTGGAGATCAAGTGAAACGGTCCTTTGAAGCTGTTCTCCTCTCTGCTTGCAGGAGCAGGTAAGGCTGGAGCAGGGCCTGACCCGGCACCAGGAGCGCCTGGGAGAAGAACGCATGAAGCTGTTGGAGCAGCTGAAGCAAATGGAGCAAGGGGTGTCCGGCCGGATCAAGAAACTGCTGGAAGAGAACCAGAGGTCAGAGGTGGTGTTGAGCAACAGTCACGGGAGCTATGCATGCAACTCTTGACAGTTTTCACTCCTAGGCTGGGTTTATTGCACCAAGGCTCAAAGACACCTGGGCTGGATTTTCAGATCTGATGGTGTGACTCCAGACAAGGAGTTCAGTTAGGGTTGGGGAACATTTTTAGCTGGAGGATCTTGTTTCCTTCTGGGGCCACTTGCCAGTGGTTTGTGGGGGCCAGAGGCTAAAATAGGTGGAGCATCACATGCAAATTATATATTGGAACTCACGCACACAGCTCTCTATCCTCCCATCTAGTCAACCAAGAGGCATTATCAGAGTTCAGGGGCACATCCCAGCCAGACAAAAACACTCAAGAATTTAAGTAGGGCTGGCAAGGGGGCTGGCTGGGGAGAGTCCCAAGGACCAGGCAGAGAGGCTTGGAGGGCCAAATTCAGCCCCTGGATCTGAGGTTCCCAGCTCTCAAGTTAAGAGTTCAAACAGGAATAGCCCTGTCAGGACATCCCTGATGTTACCAAAATTGGTCCAGGATTTTTCCTTTGAAAGTAAATCCCAAGAGTCATGGTCTGGAAACGCCAGACCCTTCATAGCAGAATGAGTTTTTCTCTCACTATCTTTTACCAAGATCCTTCACCCTGTTGCTTCAGCCATGATTTGGTTCAGGTGGAGAGTTTATATAGGGCTTTATATAGGTTCCACTCCATGCTGGTTCTCAGCCAGGCGCTGGTCCAGACAGGTGGCTGCCTGAGCTTCCCCCCTCCTCTTAGAACTGAACCAGGACTAATAATGCCTTCTGGTATTTTTCCCCCTCCTTGCTTTCTTTCTAGGCAAAAGCAGAGCTCTGAGATTCTCAAATCTCTGGAGAATGACCGGTGAGTGTCCCAGATGCTCTTGGCTGGGTAAGGAGCGGGGAGGATGATGCCTTTGCATGAGAACATAAAAAGTGTTGCCTGGGTCAGGGCAATGGGCGGTCTAGTTCAGCATCTTGTTCTCACAGTGACTGACCAGATGCATCTCTCTGTACTTGGTTCCCAGCACCTGGCATTCAGAGGCATGCTGCCTCCATTGTAGCTTGTAGCCATTGATTGCCACCAGGGAAAGGCCATAGCTCAGTGGTAGAACACCTGTTTTGCATGCAGAAGGTCCCAGGTATCATCTTTGGCATCCTTAGGTGGGGTTGGAAAAAGCTCCCTCTCTGAAACCCTGGAGAGTCATCGTCAGTCATTGTAGGCAATAGCGAGCTAGATGCACCAAAGGTTTGACTCGGCGTAAGGTGGCTCCTCATTTCCTATCATCTTTTCATCCAAGAGTTTGTCTTATCCTCTTGAAAAATTTCACATGCTATGCATAAAAATGGGAGATGACCGTTGCTTTCATGCCCAGGCTTCCCAGAGGCTTCCGGCTGCCCCCTGCTGGAAACTGGAACACTAGGTTTGATGAGCCTTCAGTCTAATCTAAACAATGAAAGAGGCAGGGCAGGCCTTGCCACTGGCTGACACTTGAGGGAAGGGCATGCAATGGCTGAATCTCTCCCTTTTCCCCTGCCAGGATCCGTATGGAGCAGCTGATGGCCATTACTCAGGAGGAGGCTGAGCAGCTGCGTAGGAAGGAAGTGGCCTGTGAGTGTGGCTGTGGGAGTTCTGGGTGGGAGCCTTTACACCCCAGGCATAGAACTGCTTCTCCTGGCTATGTTGATTTCTACAGAAAGCACGTGGAATATTGTCCCACTCAAGGGCTGCATTCTCTTCTGGGCAGCCATCTGGGGGCCACATGCCAGGGTGGGTGGGACAACAAATGTAAATTTTTCCTTTTGTACCATAGCCTATTTTTTACACACACACACACACACACACACACACACACACCCTCTGTCCTCCATCATGACAAACAAGGTATTTTTAGAATTCAAGGAGACACTTCAGCCAGGCAAAAGCCCCTGAAGAGGGCCAGAGTAAGGCGTTGTGTCTTGGGGAGGATTCTGAGGACCAGGCAGAGAGACCTGGGATGCTACATTTAGCCCCCTGGGGCCTGAGGTTCCCCACCCCTGGCTTAGTGCATGGAAGAGATTGTTAGGATGCTTTCGATCCAATCTTAAGTGAGAGCGCTGCCCGCAAAATTCTGCACGAATCCCCAAAAACTCTCCAGGGTTTTTCACCATTGAGGTTTATGTACTCTGTATTTCTTCCCCCATCAACAACAAAGGCACTGCCGTTTTGGTTCCTCCTTCCCTAGAAGCAGACACAACGCTTCCATACCTACCCCTAGTTCTGCTCTTTCATATCTCCTGTACACCCCCCCCCAGGTTTTCCTACCTCTGCTAAATTGTGGAATGTTGGAGGCAGGGAATGGATTTGGAAGCCTCCTGAGCTGCTTCCTGATCTCTGGAAAATTTTGGTGCTGTTCTAACGTGCGGGAGGAGACAGTTTTTGAACAGGCTCTTATAAGCTCAGGAGAAACTTCCAGGGCCCTGACTTCCTGCATTTTCTTTCCTCCACAGCGGCCATGCAGCAGATGCTGGCCGAGACCTATAAGAACAAGCTCCTGCAGGTGGCTTACGAGTCACGCCGGCAAGATCTTGTCAACCAGACTTGTTCCAGGTACTCCCAGAGAGAATGGGGCATTTCTCTGCTTTGTGGGGAGGGGGCCATATTATTATTATTATTATTATTATTATTATTATTATTATTAAAACCTAGCCTTTCATCCAAGAAGCGTAATGTGCTTTCCCTCCACTTTTTATCCTCCCAACAGTCCTGCGAGGTGGGTTTGTCTGAGTGAGAATGAGTGGTTCAGGCTCACCCAGCAAGCTTTGTAGCTGAAGGGTGATTTGATCCCGATTCTTCTCCCACAGGCTGACTTTCTGTCCACAACACTGTGCTTGTAGAAAGGGAGGTGATGCTGTTGTTTTTATTTGTGTGTGTGTGTGTGTGTATTGCTGTGATTAACAAGAAAAAGGTTTTATCCATGAGGTGAAATGTTTCTGCTTTCACCTCATTAGCTGCTCTGGCTGGAAAGGCGGAGCAACCAGTTGCTTAGACATTTCTATTCTGAGGGCCGCGGTCTGTCGGACTTGTCAGTAGCAGCAGTAGAAATTATGTCACAGGATTAGTAAAGAGCGCACTGGCCACCACATGCCCTCAGCCAGGAGAACAACACCAGCATCACTTAGCTTCTGCAAACGAAGCCCTTCTGAACGTTCAGTCTCAAAGCTCTGTAAGTGCCACTTTGGAAACGGCGGGCTTTCGTTTTTAGTGGAATAGCTGGCAAAGGTGGAAGCCGAAATGTTTTGCCACATAAATAGAACCTCTGTTTTGTTAATCACAGCAAAGTATAGATTATGTGAGTGCAGGGGTGGGAAACCTCTGCCACATGGGTCAGTCTTGCTCCCTACATCCAGGGAGTCTAATTTGGCCCATTATGCCATTCTGGTACCTGTTGATCAACTGACATCACTTGCCATTTAGAGCCATTGGAAGTCTGACATGGGGGTGGGGGGTCCCTCCATCCCCATGTGCCAGAACCCAAGAACACCATTCTCACACTGGCCCTGCTAGAGTAAGCCAGAAAGGTGGAGGGAGGGGGGAGGGGGAGGGAGTGTGTGTGCTTGGGATATTGGCTCTGTTCCCTAAACCCACTGGAGTTAGTTTGGTTCCGTCCTCTGACAGGCTTTGATTTTTTCCATATGTACTGATACTAGTGGCTCCTGTCCTGACAGCCTCTAAAGGTCTTCCAAAGCGCTTCTCACCCTCAGTTTGCCTCTGTCTCCCGAGAGGCAATGGTGGTAACCCTTGGAATGTTTTCTCTTGTAGCCTAGCCAAGATGGACCAGAAGTTCCAGCAAATCCTAGCTTGGCAGGAGCTGGACCAGAACAAAGCCGTCAGCCAGATCCTACAGGAGGTATTTTGCTGGATATGGGTGCAAAAAGGGCAGCACCTCTGTATGCAGGATGGGAGAGGGTGAGCCAAAGCAAAGTATGGCAGGGGGGGGGAGAATCAGAGCTGTAGACTTGGAAGGGGCACAAAAGGACATCTCGTCCAACCCCCTGCAATACATACCAAGTCCATCTAGCTAAGTTGTTAGCTCTTTCTGTGCTTTGGACCCAGTTTACTCTTGGAGCACTCCTGGGTGGGAAGCGTTCTCAAAAGAGTTCCCTTGCCCCTTTTCATCACAGCCCACCACTCTGTTTTGGCTTATATACACAGTGTTTTCTCTCCTGTTCTGAAATAATGATTTCAATGTATGAGTTGCCTCCTATGAAGCCATTATGGTTGGGACTGATAGGAGTTGTGGTTGAAAACGTCTACAAGTAGGCAAGGTTTGTGGCAACTGGAGTAAATCTTTAGGCGATTTCTCAAGGCCCACAACAATGGGGCCTGATGTTATTCCAGTTGGAACATGTTCCCCAACTGGCCAGGTGTGCTCTCCTGAACTTGCATGCTCTGTTTTTTCAGAGTGATATGCAGAAGGCTGCATTTGAAGCCCTTCAGGTGAAGAGGGATCTCATGCACTGCCAGATCAGAAATCAGGTGAGTGGAAGTCATGGGTCTGCAGGGACTGGGATTGGGTGGGATGAACAGTTGACAGTTTCTCACATGGTCCAACTTCCTTCTCAAAGCCATTGGAACAAGGGGAGCTCTCTGGGGATCTGGACAGCGGAATCCTCTCCCTACCTCCCTCAGGCCCAGGAAGGTCTGCCTCATCTCAGGGGAGGAGGGGCTCCATTTGCATTTCCATCCCACGGCAGCCCATGAACAGCATGATCTCCATTATTACAGTGGTTGTCGTGTATAAGTTTCTTCATTCATTTTAATTTGTTTCTGACCTGCTTGTCAAATCCATTCCGGCCAACATGGAACACATTGCTTCTTAAGGTCAGGCTGTCCCGCACCAGAGGCAGTGAGCTGTTGCCAGTGGTTTGAGGTGGTAGAGTTTGCAAGGTTGTCGGCGCTATCCCCCCACCTGACTCTTAGCACTTGGCTAGCTGGGGTCCCAAGGCTTTTTCTTCTGCCCAGGGAGAGGGTTTCCTGAGAGGTGCTGGTGTTTGGGGTCTTCCCTCTTCTCTGTTGGCTTTGCTGAACTGTAACAGGCTCTGGAATCTGCATCCGGTTTCTCTCAGAAGCCTCCTGGATGCTCAGTGGCTCATGAGTGATCCTAGGCTGGCCAGCTAACTAGTGGGAAGAGCCATAGCAGAGTGGCAGAGCACCTGCTTTGCATGCAGAAGGTCCCAAGTTCAATCCCCAGCAGCATTTCCAGGTAGGGCTGGGAAAAGACTCTTTGCCTACAGCCCTGCAGAACGGCTGCCAGTCAGTATAGAAAATCCTGAGCTACAGGAACCCAACGGTTTGACTTGGATAAGGACGCTTCCTATGTTCCTAAGCTACCTCCACTTCTAGAGTGAGTCTTTATCGCAGGGCTGGGGCAACCTGTGACCCTTCAGCTGTTGCTGGACTCCCAGTTCCCATCAGCCAGCATGACCAGTGGTAAGGGACAATGGGAGTTGTACTCTGCCATCAGCTGGAGAGCCACAGCTTCCCCCAGCCCAGGTTTATCTCAGGTGTGTGAAACCTTGTGGCTCTCCAGATGTTGCTGCACTACAACTCCCATCACTCCTCTGCCCCGACTGTGCTTGCTGGGGCTGCTGGGAGTTGTAGTTCAGCAGCATCTTGCGGGCCAAAAGTTCCCCGGCCCTGCTTTAGCTGAAGGCTTGCACCTGGCCTTTGAGGAAAGAGCACCTCAATTCCCACGATAAGATTTCCCCTTGGTTTTAGGAGAGCAGGGTATTTCATCGTGATTTGTCAGGGGAGGTGACTAAGCTGCATTTCCAAAGACTCTTTGCAGCGGGCTTTGTTTATCCCCACATCTCTGGCCAGGGTTGATGAGAGTTGTGGTCCAGAGCATCTGGAGGATTTCAGGTGGGTGAAGGCTGTTCTTGAGGATCCCATCTGCAGTTTGCACACCACAGTGTCCAGCTGGTCACCGTGAGGACTCCCTTCCCCAGAATGAAACCCCTCTTGGCCCCACACCAGTTACAGCCAAGGAGGGTTCTGTGGGAGAGACCTCCAGGTGCTCAGCTTAACCCTTCTTGGGCCAAATGAGTGCTAGAAACCACAGCGATGCAGTTATAGGACCAGGGTGCGAACAGCAGAGAGTGGAGTCCTTCCTGATGCAAGTAAAAACCAAACAAACCTCCCCCTACCCTCCTTGTTTCATCTTCTGCCTAGATTAAGTTAATAGAGAGAGAGTTACTGCAGCTGACCCAGCTGGAGTTAAAGAGGCAGCAGTTGGACACAGAGGCACTGCAGGTACGTCAGCCTCTTTTGGACCTCTCCCTCGGCTCACGTTCTTCCCGCCCTGCTCTTCCTTCTGCTTTCTGAGGTGTCTTGGTGCTCGAGACAGGAATTTGGGGGATGGGATGGGGGGATTCCCTGGTTCCTGCCTCCTGGGGCTTCATTTAGCACGCTCTGCAAACGCTACTGCTTTTGGAGACCTGGGGATCTGCAGGAATAGCCTGCTGTAGTGTTCAGAGGGGCAAGTGGTGGGTGGGCTGGCAGGAAAAAGACATTGAGATCTGCTGAGCATTCCACATTTTCTGCATTTTTAAATTTGAATTCTTTTTTTCCCTTTCTTTTTTGCTGGTTTTGCTTCAGTGTGTTTTGTTTTGTTTTTTTGGTTGTTCTCAAATCTCCACTCCAAAAGCAACATCCCCAAAGAGCACGCCATCCTCTCCATTTGCTCTCCTCAGCCAGCAGAGGACAGGCTGCATTAATCACAATTAGTATCCCTGCTTTTATTTTGCAAGGTGGGGAAAAGTGGTGGGTTGGGGGGATCCAGGCAAGGTTCTGGTTTTCAGAGTTGCAGAAAGATGTTCGAAAGTGGGGGGTGGGTCAAAGCCTACTGAAATCTCTTAAGCCAGGGCAGGAGTTGAGCAAACTGAGCAATGCTTTGCCCCGTGGCTAGCAGAACAAATGGAGTGATGCAGAATTTCGGCTTCCATCCACTCAAGTGAGGGCAGAGAATTTGGGAGTAGCCAAAAACCATGTGGGGGACTCCGCATTAGCCATCCTTGTTGTAAACCAGGCGAGGGAGAAACCTTTGGGGGGCCCCAGACTGCAGCTCCCATCTCCTCCTGGCTGGAAGCCATGCTGGCTGCTGGGGCTGCTGGAAGTTGCAGTTCAGCAACATCTGGAGGGCCACAACAAATTGCCTCCCCACCTGCTTTAAACAAACTTCAAACAGAAGGTTCTGTATGAGGGTGAGGGAACCTCTGGCGCTTTTGTGACCCAGCTTAGCTCCTTTGAATCTGTGCTGCTGCATCTGGAGGTTGGGGAGCAGGCAGTGGAATATGGAGATGGGGGGAGGGTGCATCCAGGATGGTCCAGGTCGAACTTCAGACCCTAGAGCTAGGACGATGTTTGCACGCCGCCTTCTAGCCTTGGGCGTGGGGAACATTTTACAGCAGCGCTGCTTCATGGGCAGCCTTCCAGGGACCAAATGCCAGTGGTGGTTAGGTCCAGAGACAAAAGTGGGTGGAGCAACTGGTGTGACTCTTTGTTCAATATGCTACATTCGAGTAGCGGGAAAAGTCAGAGGTTCACATCCAGACACCTCCCTCCCTCTATCTCCATCAAGGCAAGCAAGAAGCATTATATCCCAGTTCATGGGCACATCCTGGGGTGGGGGGATGCAGCCTGGGGAAATAGGGCATGGCTTGGGGAGAGTCTCAAGGGCCAGGTAAAGACACCTGGAGGGCTGCCTTCAGACCCCAGGAGGCCTATGGTTCCCCATTGCGGATGCAGGCTTGAGCATCCCCCAAAAGGTGGCTGGAGCAGCCTCTGCTTTGGAAGGCTTGCACTAAGAGGAAGAGCCAGCTGCCTCCCCTGGGGGCAGCCACTTCCACTGCTGCACAGTCCTCATGGTGCATGCTTCCTAATGCCTGTGTGCTGCGTTTCAGGAGGCAATCACAGAGCAGCGGCAAGCCCTCACCTACCTGCTGCAGCAGCTGCTGAAGGAGAAGAGGCAGCGGGAGGAAGAGCTGCAGGCCATCTTGGTAAGGAGACAACTCACCTGTAAGCGGGGCTAATTCTCTCTCCCACTCACACACACAGGCTCAGCCTTCTGCCCGTTTCCACACCTGGTGGCTTTGCCCCTCTCTCAGAGGTGCTTTGGAGGAGGCCAGGTGTCAGGCTACACTCCTGGAATCAGCAAAAGCTGCACATGATGATCCTTTGTTTGCTTGTATATCCCACCTTTCCCTCCAAGAAGCTCAAGGGAGGCATGCATTTGAACCCTGGTCTCTTCCAAATCCTAGTCCGACACTCCTAACCACTACACCACCCTGGCTCTCTGTTTTTCTTCCTTGCAGAGGGAGCTGGAAGCTAAGAGTGAGACAAAGCAAGAGAATTACTGGCTGATTCAGTACCAGCGGCTTTTGGACCAGAAGCCCCTTTCACTCCGGCTGCAGGTGACTGGCTAGCAGAAGTGCTGGGGTGAAGAAGGTTGCCTCTTCCATGGGCTTCACTGGCTCTGGCAGCCCCTTATGGTTCTGGCCTCCTCTTTCACCTGTGGCAGGTTCCAGGCTTCCTGGGTCTGGGTTTCCCAGTCAAGAGGCCACCTGGCAACACTGCTCTCCTTTTTCTTTGAAGGAGGAAGGACTGGAACGGCAGCTCGTGAAGCTCCTGGCAGACCTGTCAGCCGACCAGTACACGCCCGTCTTTGCACATCACCGGATCTCGCTCAAAATGCTAAGCGCCATGGTCCCAAGTGACTTGGCCAAGGTACGTGGGGAAGGTTAGAGCAGGGGTGGGGAACCTCAGGTCCAGGGGCTGGGTGCTTCCTTTAGGGCCTCTCTGTTCAGCCCTCAGAACTTTCCTCTGGGCTGCACCATTGGAGCCTGGGCATGTGGGGTGCTTTCTCCCCCCCCAGCTTCAATCAGCCCTCACTCAGTCAACCCCCACCTGCATACCTTCTCACAACCAGTCCAGAGGGTGGAGGTGACACAACCTCTCACCTTCACCCTGCTCTTAAGTCTCAGGGTTGCTCCTTGCAGGGAGGAGGATGGGGACAACCTTCAAATGAGTTGATTCTGCCTGCGATTGGCTCTGGCTCTGGCAGGCATGAGCTGGCTCCGCCTACTGTTTGGGCTCCCTGCCAGTCTTGATGGGCACCCGCCACTTTTCACCGGACTGGACCGTAATTTGTACTGATATAGAAGTTCCACACACAGTGAAATGGATAAAAGTAAACCTGGGAGAGAACCATGCTGTTCAGAAGGCTCCTTTCTGCGCTCTGCCATTTGCTTATGTCCTCTTCCAGATGGGGATCACAGAGACAGGCCTGCAGCACTCCATCATCCGGAAGGCCCGAGAGATCCACGCCGTGGCTGAAACCATCCCAGGTAACTTGCTGGATCCTCTCTCCTAAGGACATAAGCTGCCTTGTATAGTTGGAGCAGGGATTGAGGTTTAGCACAAGCTCCATTCCCCTCGCCACCTCTCATGAGCTTGTTGGGGGGGGGGGGTTGACATTCTTCCACTGCCTTTCAGTCCAACTCATCAGCAAAGCATCCACTCTGCATAAAATTGCTTGTTCTCAGTGCCCAGCTCATTCCAATTACTTGCAGAGTTGCTGAAGCCTACAGAAGAGGCAGAGCTTGCTGCTCCAGGGACCAGCAGAGAGCCCCCCACCGCCATGGCTCCTTCTGCCCCACCACCAGAAGAGCACCTCTGTGAGTGTGTGGTCTGCATGGAGCGAGAGGTAGGTTGACCTCCACCCAGGAGCTTTGAAAGCTTAACCTGCATGTCAGGCAGAGTCAGTGATCCTCAGAGGCATCAGGGAATTAGTGTGACGCAATGGAATGCTACTCCATCTCTATCCCACGGCTATAGAAGGCCTTCCTAAGACCCATCAGTCCTAATATGTGATGTTTCTCAAGGCCTGATCCAACAGGGATCCTCTGATGATGTTCTTATCTTGTGCCTGAACTTGCTTTTTTCCTCCTCCTTCCCATCCTTTTTTCCTTGTGTGTCATGTCTTAGATGTCAAACCTGAGAGAAGAAACTGTTTTGTTTGTCAGATGCTCTGGCAGTCTTTGTTGTGGAGGTATGGGGATGAGGATGAAGCGCAGGATCAGAATGCTTTGGAATAAAACCCTGATCTCTGATGACATGTGTGCAAGGAGGAGGTGGTGAGGAGGCCCTGCTGTTAGTAAGAGCTGTGGTCCTAGCATTTGCCTCTTCCTCTTCTTTTCCCCCCAGGCCCAGGTGGTATTCCTGACTTGCGGCCATGTCTGCTGCTGCCAGACCTGCTCTGAGGCCCTGAGCACCTGCCCGCTGTGCCGCAAGGATATCGTCCAGCGCATCCGTCTTTTCCACAGCGGATAGCCCCACATGGGGACAGCGTCACTCCCATCATGTGCCCGCTTCTTCCCCCTCAACCTTGCGCACTGGGTTGCCAGGGGTGGGGTGGGGTCAATGGTTCTTTTGGCGTGCTGTGTAGGCCAGTCCGGGATATGCACTACCTCCTTGCTCTTTGTCTGCGTAACCATCACCATCCTCTGCTCACAGAGCATGGCTGCAATTCTCCCCCTCCCCAACTCTCAGCTGTTGGCTTTTAGCTGCTCTAAGGCCAAGATGGAGGCACATCTCCGGGCTGAGGGCAGAACGGTGCTTGCAGTTCCTGAAAAGCTACTCTCACGTTTTGGGGAACAGGCAAACACCACATCTTCTCTGGCAGCCTGGCAAGGGTCATTTAAAGATGCCAGTCCCAACCTATGGGCAGAGTGGGTTCTAGGAGCTTCAGTACAGGAGAAGAGAGTCCCTGCTGTCTGCCCGCCTAATGAATCAGGGCTGGCGTGTGTGTGTGTGTATATATATTATATATATATATGTATTTCTGTGGCTGGGTACTGTGGGCTTAGGCCACTACTGGCTGAGCTGTAGCAGCACCCAGTGGAGCAAAAGTGCCTGGAAGCTGTCCCATCTGTCACCCTGGGAGAGAGTGGTTGGTGATTCCCAGCCATCCAGCATCCAGCTCCCAATCTAGTCCACTTTGAACTCTTTCCAGGCCAGCGTTTTAAAGCTGCCACCCCCAACCTGGTGCCCTCTAGCTGGGATGACTGCATTAAGGACCCCATAAAGGGTGGGTGGGTAAGTCAAGCAAGAGCCCTGGTTGGGTGGAGGTCTCGTCCCACCCACTACATGTTTTTCGCTAGTGGAGTATGTGTGTGTTTGGTTCATCATCCCTCTCGGTTCATTGGTCAGTAATTGACCTTGATAGTCTGCCAAGGCAACATCTCCTCCAGAAGAAACCAGCCTCCACCCGGTTTTGCTTGGCAGGTTTCCTGGCAGGAGAAAGTGGACACTCGTATTTGCAACTTCCAAGAAACAGGCCCCTGAGCCTTTTTCACTGCCTGACCGCTCACTCACATTCATCGTCCTGTGTTCTCTTGGAGCCAGGTGAGTGAGGAAACCTTTTGGCTGCTTCTGGCATTGCTGAACCACGACTCCCAACTTCCTCAGCAAGCGTGGCCAGCACCCAAGGATTATGGGAGTTGTAGTTCAGCCACAACAGGAGGGCCAAAGGCTCCCTACATCTGAACTACATGACAGCCAAGAGGTGAGGTCTGTCCTTTTTAGCAAAGTCAGCTAACATGAACAGCAATATAGTGCTTTATTCTATCAGTTTTCTCCAAAAGGATCCGCAAATATTTTATAACTAAAAGGTAAAATGCACCAGAAGAATGAAGTGTTGTTTTGCCTTCCAGGAAGCCTTAGTCCCAGTGCAGGTGTGGAGATTCTTTGCCACTCCAAATGAGACTGAATTACAACTCCTGTCATCATCCTTGGCCTTTGGCCATGCTTGCTGGGCCTGAGGGGAGCTGTAGTTTAGCAATGTCTGGAGAGTGTAAAGTTCCCTCACGCTTACAAGGAAAACTTACAAGGAAAACCAAGAGGGGAGAGATTGGCAGAAACCTTATGTAAGGGAGGCCTTGCCTATGCCTGGTCATGGAGGCTGTGCCGCAGTAATCCCTCTCCACCCACCTACCCACAATTCCTTGCTCAGGGTGATTTGTTCCCCTTCCAGATAAGGGATAGGGTGCCTTGAGTCCCTGTCAGGAGAAACAGCAGGGTACAAATATAGAACAGAACCACAGAATTGTAGAGTTGGAAGGGACCCAGAGGGTCACCTAATCCAAACCCTGGCAATGCAAAGATCTTGACTAGATCATACACTGGTATTTGTGGGGGCTGGGTTTTAATAGGTAGCAGAGGATATATTAATTGCAATTTATCCCTCCACACACCCATGTTTGTGGGCTGAAACAAAATAAAGCATAGGAATTAGTCTATAGAACTTTGTTTTGAGCAAGTCCAGCTAACAAAGTAAGCTGGATTCCCCCTTCTTACCCCACTTAAACAAAAAAACAGGCAGCAACTTGTAAAGTAAGATTTACTTACTTTATAATCATGCATAGGTTCACAGCAACAGTAGCAGTAAAAACCATGCAGGCAAAATACGGTATATTTACAGTATAACCAGCTTCATGCATGTGCCTAAAACTCAAGCTAGCAGAAGCATGTCTGCATCCATCACTAGTCAAAGGGAGGGCGAGAGCTACATGAAGTACTATATGCTTCCTATCCAGGAGAGGAACGGAAACAACACCACACAGCCAATTATATTTCTATGGTCTGAGTATCTGCCTTTCAGTAATACACCTCTGTGGTATTAACCGCTTCTCATACTAACTAGCAAGAATGTGCATTTGTTAGGTTTGTCTAGCAGACAAACGTCTCATGTGGCTTTTGCAGTTTGCAGATGGCTATAGTATCTCCTCTCAGTCTCTTCCAGGCTAAATGTACCCAGCTCCCTCAACCATACCTCATTCAGCAGCATATGGAGGGCCAAAAGTTCCCCACCACCAGGTTTCCCAACCCTAGTTTGATGTTTCTGGGCCGCAGCATGGGATTGTGCTGGCTTCACCCGTCTCTCACATGCTGCTGTGCTCCCATTGCCACCACATCTCCGAAGAACCCCGCTGGGAAATCAGGGGCAAGGCCAGACAGACCTGTGTGGCAGTTGGTGTGCGGTGTGGGCAGCACAGATTAGTTGGGGGTCTGGGCCCTCCCAAAGCAGTGAAGGAGAGATGGGTCACTGCCTGGGCATTTGCTGTGGGGTGAGGAGCACAGCAAGGCCTCTAGGGAGGGTTTCTCAGTCTTATGCCTTGGGGTCTAGTTCTGTGGGATTGCAAGTGGTAGGCCATGGGGTGTGAGGAGCCTGTGGTCCCTTAAGCTGTTGCTGGACTCCTACCCCCATCAGCCTTAGCCAGCATGGCCAACAGCAAGGGATGATGGGAATTGTAGTGCAATGCACTCTAGAGGGCCAAAGGTTCCACAGCTCCATGTCAGGTGAGCCATACCTCTTCTTCCTATACTCCTCCCACCTCAAGACAAAACCAATTAGCTTTGCTTCTGAAGACAGACCTTATAGGGAAGTGTTTGGTGGGTTGCAAATAAATAATAAATTATTATAATGTTATTTACCAGTCAATGGGTCGGTGCTTCAAAATCGCCTTCCCTTCCCAGTAGGAAGCCACCCTGAGGCCTGAGTTTGAATCCCTCTACTCACAAGTTCAGGGTGCCTATGCTGGGACCTTCACTTTCTCCCAAAGAACCTTGCACACTGTTGCCCTTTTCGGTGGGTGTGGAGAGGCTTTCCTTCACCCTCCACCCACTCACAGAGCCAAAATTTGCAGAGGTGCCCTGGGGGAAGAACCATTACAGTGGTACCTCGGTTTACGAACTTAATCTGTTCTGGAAGTCCGTTTTTAAACCAAAACCATTCTTAAACCGGGGCACTCTTTCCCTAATGAGGCCTCCCGCCGCTGGTGCCCTTCCACCATTCAGATTCAGTTCTTAGACCGAGTTAAAGTTTGCGAACCAAGACACTATTTCTGGTTTTGCGGAGTTTGTAAACCAGACTGTTCTTAAACTGAGGTACCACTGTACACGTAAATCAGATATAGGCCTATGGCCCACTTTTGCTTTGCTCTAGGTAGAAAGGATCATTGGCCTCTGCCAGGGACTCAGGCAGTGGCTTAGCTGGAGCAACGACCCCTTTGCCATCATTGCACGTCTTGCACGAATCTCTGTTTCCCCCAGTGTTGGTCTGTTTTTATGTGATTGTCTCACATGTATCCAGCAGAGAAATAAAAACTGGGTATGAAATTCAAACTGCATTGTCTCTTCCTGTTCCCTTAGGGTAGACGGATGGGCAGGTATCCAATGGTTGGCAGAACCCCTGGAACAGATTTAGGGGACACACTGTGCAAAGGGAGGGGGAGAAGTTCTTGAACATGCATGGAACCTTGTGCTAGCTGAATTAGCTACCTAGTGCTACATTGGATGCAACTGCAGAAAGAGGTGTGTTTGAAGTGGATCCCAAACTTTCCCCCTGTGGACCACTTGAAAAGTGCTGACAGTCTCAGTGGACCACTTGATGGTCTTCCTGCCTGCTGTAGCAGCTGTAATGCACAGTGCTGTACATTTTTGTTGTATTTTTTGTTGTATTTGCTCCTTTTGTTTCTTGCATTTTATTTTATTGCATTTCAATTTGAATTCAACCTGTGTTTTACGGGCCAACTGAATGAATTTCATGGACCCCAGTTTGGGAACCCTTGGCTCAGAGCTGCAGCATTTTATGGGATAATCCATGAGATTGATAGTGAGGCTGAACCTTAAATGAATAAATAGTTTCATATTGTAAAAAGGGAAAAAGAATTATTTATTTCAGAGCTGAGGAACTAGCTCCCCTTCCCACCTCCCTGGTCTACCAGAACCAGAAGAGATATGAAGAGGGAGGAGCAGACACAGGCATGTCAGCAAAGTCTCAGATTGCTTTAAAAGAATCCAGGGAAGGAGGAAATTTAGGCAGCCTCAGGGGCATGACCTATTGAAAAGAGTTGCTGTGCTCATTAGGCCTGGTATCCCAAGCAGGCCTTTTTTCTTCTAATAAAGAGTTAACTTCACTTACTCCGTATGATTTCTTGCTGGCTGGCTCCCTGAAAACAAACGACCACTGAAGGAGCATGGTGTGTCCTCCACCAAAGGTACTACCTCTCCTCTAACACCCCCCACACTAATAAAACACACACAGGTACTGTCCAGGATTAAAAATGGCACCCAACATCCAAACATCAATGAAGACCCCCCACACACACACCTTGAGCACTCCTGAGCTGAATCTAGCGATCATATCCCTACTTGTGGCTTACCATGTGCCACAAAACGGGCAAAGTCATGCCAAACTGAAATTTCAGTCTGCCATCTTGATTCAAAATGGCACCCAACATACAAACAGCAATAAGGTCTGCCGCCCCACCCTGGGAACCCTCATGCCAAGTTTGGTATTATAGATGGAGAGTTGTCCAATTGTATAGAGGGCAAATTGGCAAACCATTTCCCAAAATATCAGTCTGGTCAACATATTCCTCCAGCATGACATAGAAAAAGTGTGGGGGGTAGGGTGGGAGGGAGAGGTGGACTCCCCAGAGTTGGAATTAATAGATGGCAGAAAAAGCCAGTGCCTTGTCAATTTCATCTAAAATCTTGACTCCCAGCTTTTGGGAGCAGGAAAAAAGGGGTTGGGAAGCTGCCTCAAAGTTGCTTGACCACATTCTCCCAGTTTTTCACGCTTGGTTGGGAAGCTGGACTGTCCTCTTTTTTCAGGTGCCAAACACCACCAACTGCCCTTTGCCTCAGGTCCTCACTGCTGTTTACACAAAGATGCTAAAGTTGTCCTCCAGCCAAGCCACTGAGTACAACAGTTGCAGCTGGGAAGTGTCCTCCTGTCAGCCACAAAAGAATAATGCTTACTTAAGGGGTGTGTCTTATTTTGCCTGGAATGCTCCTCGTTGCTTGTGCCCAATCGATGTGATTTAACTTTCCAGCAGTTGAAACAGGTTCATGAGGCCAAATGGCACACTGCCCCACCAACCTCAGACTGCTCTCAGCCTGTCCCCACCTGCCTTCCTCTGCTCTCCTCTCTCAATTGACCTCCATCTCCAGGGCACACCTCGTGACATCACCAGGGACTGCCTTTGCATCTCAGGTTTGGGCCCTGTGTTAGTGGGAAATGGGAAGGGGGGTGAGATACCTCCCACCCTTCACAAGCCTTGCGACTCCACACCATGAGACAAAGATAAAGAGTCTCCACTGCACACCAGCAAACAATTCACTCACACACATACCACACAAGAGGTATTTCTCTGCCTTTTCACCTGTCAAACCAAATCCTCTAGTGTCAAGAGAAAACAACAGCAACATATCTGCAAAGGCATTGCATCTGCAAGGGAAGCTCAGCTCAGGCGTCTGTGACTCCCCGCTGAGCCCCAGGTCTCCAACAAAGGAAAACAGGAAAAGTGGCAATACCAAATGTAGCGATTCACTGATAAATGTATTTATGCACTGGCTCAATGGGAAAACTTTAGAAATTCATCGGAAATCACTCATGGTATCAATCTTCTCCATTCCAATGGCATTTAGGACCCAGGGAAGTGAGGTATAAGGGGAGGGGTGAGTGAGCCCACCTAATCTCCGAGATGTACAGACACATCTGCAGGGCCTTCCCAAGGAGTCATGGCCAGTGATATCCAACCACCTCAGTCACAATGCCTATCCATCCTATAGTGGGATGAAGCTGGACAAGACAGAGGGGTGTATTTGATTTGACTCAGGGACCAAGGAGCTGTAAATACTTTCCTTGGTACGGGGATGGGAGTAAGTGTGAAAGAGTATATTTGCGTGACAGGGGTATGCCTGGATCTCAGGTTCTACCTGAGACCACACCTTTTCTGTGACAGATCTATGATGTCTTGATGATGCATCCTGAGATGTTTTATGGGAAACTTTAAAATACGGATGTAACCATTGATGGGGGCTTCTGGCTGCTTTGTCTCTGTGGCAGTGGGAAGTCTTGTTGCAACAAGAAAGATCAGGCCTACTGGCTGCTGTTTTGTTTCTATCACCTGGCTAAAGTCTATTGCTTGTGACGTTCAACCTGAACCTATGGGAATCAAGGTTAGGTGATTGTGGGGTGCTCCAAGGACTCCCTGTTACACCTGAAATGGAAGGGTCTGAACTGACAACCCTGGTGAATAGCCTTTGCTAATATGTAAGTTTGGAGTGTGTGACAGGTGGGGTGTGTGAAAGAGAGAGATAGAAGCTGCGAAGCTCTTTTGTACAATAATTATAATGTTGGAAGCAGGTCTTTTTTCAGCTGGAACTTGCTGGAATTCAGTTCTGGTATGTCTCAGGTGGGCACCATCACTGACAGAGGAAGGGGGGGTGCAGTGGGTGTGGCTTGCCCCAGGTGTCATCCCCATAGCTGTCAACTTTTCCATTTTTTAAAGGGAAATCCTATTATTCCGAATAGGATTTCCCTTTAAAAAAGGGAAAATTGACAGCCATGGTCATCCCTGAGGGGGGTGACATCTCTGCGCTGCCTCCCTGGGACTCTTCGCTCTACCCCTGTGGGCGGCTAGCCCTGCTCCAGGGTGCACAGCATGTGCTCCAGGTGCTGGAGCAGCTAGCTCTGCCTCTGGGCACCATTGCCATTCTAAAAGAATGAGGGAGGTGTTCATGGTGAGTTCTGGCACATCTTTTTCTAGAAAAATAGTACTGGTAGCAGAACCTCCAAGTGTCCATATTTACCAGGAACGTGTGGGAATGTTCAGGGAGGTAGCAGAGGATATATTGTTTAATGATATCCTTCCTAACCTGCGTTAGCAAGTTCTATATTTTAGCAAAGTTTAAACATTCCACTTTAAACACACAGCAGTTTGCTTATTGCAGGCTCGTCTGAGCCTCTCTATATAAGATTCCTGGTAAGATCCCTTATTGTCCCTCTTAACAAGAATAGACACAACAATATTATTAAAGTAGTTTACTCACTTCATTCAGTTCACAGTTGGATCCCTGAAGGCAGACTTAGGTTACAAAAGTGTGTGTGTGTGTGTGTGTGTGTGTGTGTGTGTGTAACTATGCAATAAGGGAGTTAGTCCCAAGTGACAAGCAGTCACTTCTGCTCGCACGTAGAGAAACAAAAATGGAGAAGAAGCAACAGAAGGAGGTGTGCTCCCCTGTCCAGGTTAGGCCACCCTCACCTCTAGTGACATGCAGAGGAAGTTTGTCCCAGCTCAGGAGGAAACAGGAAGTTTTCTCCTGGCTGGTAGAAAGCATCCCCTAGCATGTTCATTCTAGGAATGTTGTACGAAAGGAGTTCTGGGAGAGTCCATTAGGAGTTGTGGGTAGGTAGTTGGTTGGATTTCATGGGTTGGCTGGTTGGGAAAGGCAGTTGGTAATAGAGAGACAGTTAGGGCAGTTGGTCCTTGAGTTTGGGGAGGGAGCAAGAGATTGAGAGAGGAACATAAGACTAAGAAAGTAAAGAGGAACACCGTTTGGTATGCTGTAAAAGTTTTGTTTATGTCTGAAATAAAATACACTCTTCTTTATTAATTGAAAAGCTGACTGAGACTGAAGTGATTTTACCAGGGAGGACCTGGTTGGTGGCAGCGGATTAGTGGTGTACGGGTCAATAGTCCGTGAGACGACCGGGGGCTCCGTACGAACGCCACAAAAAAATTGGAACTCCCGCCCCAATCTGGCCACAGTGATCCATGCGATGGTCATCTCCAGGCTTGACTACTGTAATTCGCTCTATGTGGGGCTGCCCTTGAAGCTGTCCCAGAAACTCCAGCGGGTACAGAATGCTGCAGCGAGGCTCCTCACGGGGTCTCTGCCATGGGAGCATATTCACCCAGTGCTTTTCAAGCTGCAATGGCTCCCGGTGGAATACAGGGTCAGATTTAAGGTGCTGCTTTTGACCTTTAAAGCCATTCATGGCCTAGGACCCTCGTACCTACGGGACCGCCTCTCCTGGTATGCCCCACAGAGGACCTCAAGGTCCATAAACAGCAACACCCTAGTGGTCCCAGGTCCTAAGGAAGTTAGATTGGCTTCAACCAGAGCCAGGGCCTTTTCAACTCTGGCTCCGACCTGGTGGAATGCTCTGCCTCATGAGACCAGGGCCCTGCAGGATCCGATTTCTTTCAGCAGGGCCTGTAAGACAGTTGTTCTGCCTGGCCTTTGGCTTGGAGCCAATTTGATTCCCTCCCTCTCTTTTTTTCTTTTCCTTCTCCTCCTGCGATGAGGCTACATTTTAATATTTTAATGTT